TTATAAGTTACGAACTGTAATAATTTTTAACTTATTACAGTTCCTTATTACATTAGTTGATACGATAACATTACATTTAAAGAATATTAACATAATATTATACCTAAAGCTGTTGTTCAAATTGGAGACCATTTTCTCGAATGCAAAACCCGCATTTTTCTTTTTTTTTTATGGCATTTAAAATAATTATTCCTTTTCCTCATATACTGCATTTTACATATATTTCCATAAAAAGAGATCTAAAACTGATACATTTAGATGTCTTGGAGGCCATCTTACAGGTCTGTCGGTACCTATCCATTTTATATATATATATATATATATATATATATATATATATATATATATATATATATATATATATATATATATATATATATATATATATATATATATATATATATATATATATATATATATATATATATATATATATATATATATATATATATATATATATATATATATATATATATATATATATATATATATATATATATATATATATATATATATATATATATATATATATATATATATATATATATATATATATATATATATATATATATATATATATATATACAAACTTGTGCTAGGAAAGATACGAATAGGTAACATTAAACCCTGGTTTACATTAGAAGTCAAGAATATTACAAGGGAAAAGAAGGAAAAATACTTACAATACAAGAAATCTCCAACACCGGAGAACCGAAATATCTACACCGAAATAAGGAACAGGACTAATAACAGAGTACGAGAAACTAAAGAAGAATATTGGCAGCGATTTAGTAACGCAATGGAGGCGGATATATACGGAGCACCAAAAAAGTATTTGGAAGATGTTGAGGGGTCTGAAACGCGAAACAAATGAAACAATACAATTAAGAACAATTGCAGAAGATACTTGGGAAAAATATTTCAGAGACCTATACGCAGAAACAGATGAACCAATGAAAGCACAAGGGACAAGCCAAAGAGATAATACAGGAGATCACGCGCAAATTACCTACAAGCAAGTAGAACAGACAATAAAGTAGTAATCAAGATAAAATACTAAACGAGCCAATAACAAACGCGGGCACGGCTATCATAGAGGAATATACAAAACTGTTTAACAATATATAACAATATAAGAAAATACCAGAGGAATGGAAACAAAGTATAACAATACCCATTTTTAAAAAGGGAGATAAAACAGACCCAGCAAACTATCGAGGGATAACATTACTGAGCACCTCGCTAAAACTTTTGACTAGGATCATTGCGGATAAAATCTCCTCAACAGTGCCAATAAGCGAGGAACAACAAGGATTCCGAAGAAACCGCTCCACTACCGATGCATTATTCATACTCAGGCAACTGGCTGAAAAATCTTTGGAATATAACTCTCCAGCCTATAGATATAGATTTAAAAAATCCCTTTGAAAGAGTCCAACTAAAAGACATTATCACGATCTTGGAAAGCAGTAATGTCTCGAAAGGACTCACAGAACTTATCAAGGACAACAACCCAAATAAGAAGAAACTTTACCTTAACGCAGCATCTCCGAGCTTCAACTGGTATTCGCCAGGACGGCAGTCTCAGCCCTCTGCTATTGAACACAATCATGGACCAATTAATAAAAACCGTTAAGAATACTGGATTAGCATATCGAATGGGAATACATAAAGTAAACATATTATGCTATGGCGATGACGCAGTACTTATTGCAGAGTCAGGGGACGACCTCCAAAGAATGCTACAAGCTTTTAACAGACAAACAGAAAAACTTAACATGCAAATTTCCACAAATAAGACCAAATGCATGACCATTGCAAAGGAGCCTCTGCGGTGCAAATTGGTAATAAAAAACAAAACTATTGATCAGATAATGTCACTCGAATACCTGGGATGCAAAATTACCAGCTCTGGATTCCTGGAAGAAGAAGTAAGGAAACAAACCAACAAGGCTGCCGCAATATCAGGACATCTTAAATATCCCATATGGAAAAACAAACATTTGAGTGCAGAATGTAAGTCAAGAATATACAAAACCTGCGTACGACCGGTGATGACATATGGTGCGGAAACCAGAGCTGAAACATCAGTAACAAAGAGAATCCTACGAACTACTGAAATGAAGACCTTAAGAATGATAACTGGATACACATTGGGGGACAGACAGAGAAATGTTGACATAAGAGAAAAGTGCCAAACAAATGACGTTGTCAGATGGGTAAGGCAGAGAAGGAGAGAATGGAACCAGCATGTCAGTAGAACGGGCCCCGACAGAATGGCCATAATAATTCGCAACAACGTACCCCATGGCAGAAGACCTACTGGACGACCACCTAAACGTTGGCGAGATAGTTGACAGTCAACGTCGCAAGAGTTGCTTAGACGAGGAGGAAACCGGAACTAAACAGGCGATACGCCGTCTAAAAGAGGAAGAAGAAGAAGCAATAAAGTTTTCCTAACTTAATGTTTCAATTTAAAATAGTGCGACACAATATGTCATACTGAACGCCTGGCCAACTTGATCAACATCTATTTAGTTAACTTACATGATTCAAGAACGGCTTATTCAAATATCAACGATCTATATATTCTTGAAATCAAGAGAAAAAGATCTTTCGTCATAAAAGAACTTAAAAATAGAAAACTTGCCGCTGTTTCTGGTGTATGCCATGCTCGTTTGTTTTCTCTTCAAGTTTACCTTACCTTACGTAGATACAGGGTGAAAAAGGAAAATGACCATTTAACAATATTTTCCTTACAAGGATACGGCTAAAAATGACGTCAAAAATATTTTAGGCTTATTATGTTGGGTACGGCCAAAGTCTTCTTTTATTTTCCTTACGGGTTTTATATTGCATTTCTACATTTTCCAAATGGAATACTTTTTCCGGTGAAGAAAACCGATCGACAGTGAACAAAATTGAGAGAAAATTTATAGAAAAAATGTTTCAGACATTATTCTTAATTTTAAATTATCTAAATTTTGGTTTTTTATTTCGTCACTTTTGATTTTGAATATCCCCGATGGGGTAATATCTGGAGATCATTCTGGATATTTTGCGTTAAACAAATTAAAAACTTCTTTTCGAGTTCTCGTTTTTCCTCCATATCCAATTGTCCGAGTTTCTTTTAGATACGTCACATTCATTTTCTTTTCTGCGTTGAGTTTTTGTTTTGTATTTAGAGTGTATTGGCTCACCTTCAATATTTAATACGTAATTGTGGGATTACAAATATTTTAGTGTCTATTTTGCACCAAAAACTCTTCTGTAGTTTTCTCAGGCAACGTAGACAAATTTGCTATAGACTCCTCAAATCTTTACTTAGCGATTCATTAGTCTTATCTGAAATGACGTCTGTGGTGCCATGGTTAGTACGGGATACAAGGGCTACAAATTTCTAGTCCACCCCGGATCTACGGTATACGCAAATTTCAACATGCCGGTTCAAAACTAGTGATTAGATATGCAAATTATGTGTTTTTCTTTCGGACTGACGTTCCTAATATCAATTTTTAAGGTATGTTTCCGGCTCATTCGAGAGTAACTTTCGAATTTTAAACGACACAACCTATTTTTGGATTCAGAAAAAAATTCGTAGAATAGGCCGGTTTTTCAATTTTTTTTATTTTTTCATTTAATTTTTGAAAATTAAGTGTATAAATACTATTTATCATGTAAATGAAGCTTTTCTTTACTTGTCTAATGGCAAATAGCATTTAATTCATTGAACTTTTTATTTTTTAGGATAACCTTTTTGTTTCAAGTAGCATGCTAGTGGGAACACAAACTTTTTAAAACCAGATAAGTAAATACTTAAAAAGAAAAGCAACTTAGGTCCGTATGATTAAAAAATCTGGTAGTGGATACGTTTCTGATATACGGGAAATGCAGCAAAAACTCTCGACAGGCCCGCTAGCCAGGACGTCGCCTTCCTGCGCATTCTTTCTTTAGAAACCTGGAATTCAAAATCAAAAATCCACGAAATAATCGACATGATACCACTTTCAAATCGATTTTGCCGACATTGTTGAGGTTTTATTTTCTAACAGATTTTCGAAATATTGTGTTGAATTAACCCGAAAACAGATTTGAAAAAATATATATATTTCTATTCTTTTGTTCTTCTGTGCTTGTAGCTTATGACGTACGTATACATACAATCCTTACGTTAGTTTTTGGCTGTATCCCCGTATTCCAAAAGCACATCAACTCTGTACCATAATAAAACTCTTTCAATAAACAATTCTAATCGAAGAAGAAAGTCTCCCTTGAATTTTCATCTTTTTCCATTCCGCTGCAAAAGCTAATTGAGAGTTTCTTTTGCATTTTTAATCTTACCGACTTATAATGAATAGAAGCAAAGCCACCTATTTTGTTTTTATAACAATGCATTGACTTATCTGTTTTTTTTTCATCCTGTGAGCTTATTTTTTAACGGATTTTGAAAATTTTGGTCTCAAAATGTTGCAAACTTTTTATTCCCACTAGGGTGCTATTTGGAAAAACTAGGTTAAAGTTTCATTTACAATTTGTTCATTATCAGGTGACCCACTAAACAGTATTTATGATGGTCACAGCCTCCTAGAAACAATTTTCATAAATTAAATAAAAATTAAAAAAACAAACAAAAATATACATAGAATGATCTCCTGAATCCAAAAATGCAAAAAAATATAGGTTTTCCATTTAAAATTCTTTTTCTCTTAAACCGGAAGTGCAATCATTGACTACATATTGTCAAAAAAAAATTACATTCATCCTATATTAGCCCTTCCAAATATCAAATCGCTATCTCAAGCCGTTCAAAAGTTATAGTGTGTTCTCACTTTCTTGTGTCACCCGGTATATATTTTGCTAAAAAATTAATTATTATGTGAAAATATTACGAAAGATCGACCAAAGACCAAAGACCTCCAAAGTAATGGATACAAGTTCGGAAGTATATAGAGCATCACATTTATAAACAATAAATAAAGTTAAATTGATACTCGACTCACCTTCCAGCGTCTTGTTCCTTGCGAGGAGCGCCAGCAAAACCTCCGAGTTTGGCGGACCTTCCACCGAATGCGGAGTCATCAGACCCGGCGGAGGCAACACGGGAATATGTGGCAACGTCGTCCTCGTCTGGTCCAAAATTGACATTTCGACATTGACATCAGTTATCCTGCGATCGGATATTCTTGTTATTATTTCATTTGTATTTATATCAAACAGGTCAAAGATATGCTGTACAACCAAAATACTTTAAATCGTTTGATATAAAACTGTAGTAACGAGACTTGTAGGTAAACGTTACGACAATCTGATGACGTTCGCTGTTATAGCCCAAGACAATTAAAATTGAGAAGGCATCATTAATATGTGTGTATAGTTTGTTCTCTTTGGTGATTATTTAATAATCTAATCATGAAATGTTTGTATTAATTGTATGATCATGAACATATTACGTAAGTGCAAAATTGTGGGAAATCGAGTTAAGTTCATCATTAATCCTTAAATATAAATACTAATAAAAATTTTCGCTATTATGCATGCAAAGTTTTACGGATAAATTCTGAAAAGTTATACTTTTTGCAGTTCTGCCGGAGCAGCGATATAATTTGTCATTCGGAGCTAAATGCCAGTAACCTGTCATGTCAATTTCTAAGATTTATCTATATTTTTTTGTCTAATTACCCCATAAATTCTTATTCCTATGGTCAAATCTAAAAAAGAATTGACACTTTTTAGGTTAATGTTTGAAGTCAATACTCAATTCCGGTTCAATAACCTTTTGTCTTTAAAATTTAAGAATTTCCGAATTTCAATGGCGCTCGAGTAAGATAGGGTTTTTAGAGTGTTGATGCAATAGACATGGGCGTTTTCAAGCTGTATGTGAATGAAAATAGGCTAGCAGCACTAAATTTTGACTTGACTTTACTGAATAATAAGTATATATTACACAGAACTTTGATACGGCGCCATAGAAAATCATCAATCAATCAATCAAACAGGCAATCTACTGTATCCTTGATTTTTCAGCAATTCATGTCAGTGTTTTAGGTGTAAACGTCTTTTTACGAGATCTTGGAAGTTTTCCTAAATTTTGAACTTCCCCGGAAAATTTGTCAGCCCTCGAGTAAAAAGACCTTATGACCTAGTTAAGTTGCAATTATATTATCGACAGAGTTTATTAAACATGAGATCGATCTGTGGTCTGATATTTTATTGTCAATAACAAAAGTATCACATGAAAAATTAGAATACATATTTGCTAAATCAAAGTAGGAACATTTTATTAATTTTTGTGTACTCTATAAGGTTTTTTGTGAATTATCAACATTTCTATAACTTATAGTAACTTACCATGAAAAAATTCTAATTTACCACTAGGAGAATGATAAATCTCCACCAAACTTTCTTTCTACTTATTTCTAACAATAATTAGAATACCGACAAAATGCACAGTGTGTGTCGTTAGTGTTTAGTAACTATACTCTTGATTTTTCGATAATTAATGTCAGTATTTCCAGGAAGTTTTATTAAATTTTGGACTTCCGCGGATAGTTTCTCATTTTTGTTTTGTAAAATACTCCCCACAAATAAAAAAAAAGAAGAAAAGAGGAAAAAGCTTGTGAATTATTTGTAGCAGTTTCAGAAACCGCCCATTCTGACTCGACTTTACTAAATAATACGTACAACGTTGATACTTGAAAACTTCAGGGACAACCTGTATAGTATGCAAGTAATTTTAGACGTTAGCAAACGGTCACAAACAGAGAGATCTTGGAAATTTTCGTAAATTTTGAACTTCAGGCGAAAATTTCTCAATTTTTTTTCTAGAAACACAGCCCATGAGTAGAGAAAAAATAAAAAAACGAGGAGAAAACATATGAATTATTTGTAAAACTTTCAGACACCGACCGCCCATTTTTTTTCGAACATTGATACTATTTTGATGATGATTTTAACACTTCAGGGACACCTGGTATAGTACGACAGTAATTTTAGATGGTAGCAAACAGTAACAAACAATCAACGGTAGCTTTGATTTTTCAATAATCAATATCAGCGTTTCAAGTTATAAACGTTTTTTTCCATAATTTCGCTAGACATTGGAAGTGCTTGAAAATTTTGCGCTTCCACGGAAAGTTTTTTAATTATTTTTCCGTAAACGAATACCCCCCGCGAGGAAGAAAAAAATTGAAAGAAGAAAAATAAAAAAATATATTAACTGTTTGTAAAACTTACATAATTGTTTTCCAATTTACTGACAACTTTTAGCACTTCAGGGACAACCTGTACGAAAAAACCTGCGTGTTCGGCAAGTTGGTTGAGACAGTGACGTATACGGGACGACCTTGGAAGTTCTCGCAAATTTTGCACTTCCACGGGAAGTTTCTTAATTATTTTTGAAAAATTGAAGAATTGAATTTTTTTTTTATTTGAATTTATTGACAACTTTGCCACTTTTAGTACTTCAGGGACAACCTGTATGAAAAAAACTTGCGGGTTTGAAAGTAATATAGAGTGACGGTGCCACATAAAAGCGTTTTGGTTAGTTTTGGTTGACACAGTGACGTATACGAGGCGAAAGATAACATACAGAAAACGAACTGTACCTTTGATTTTTCCGTAATAGGCGTCATCATTTCGAGTTGGAAAACCGCGACCGGACGAAATCACTGGGCGAAAACGCGCGCGGTTATCCGAACGTCGTCCCCATCGGCCGGGTTATATTTTTCAATTTGCCCGGGGCCTCTTTAATTTCACTAAAAGTGTTCACCCCGACGTTTCTCCCCAGATTCACTGCCTCCGCGTAGGGTTCGTCCCCCTCTACTGGGCCGCCATTATTAAACCGACTCCGGATAATAGAGTGTGACGTCAATAAGGACGTCGGGCGTCGGCGCGTACCCGCCGGATCCTCCCACAGAAAAAAAGGGCCCGCTTCAGCGGCCTTTCAGGCAGTTTCAGGAGTCATTGTCGATACACACCGCGTTCCTTTGAAACACTACACGCACAGGAATATTCTTATCGCCTTCGCCAAATATTGATTTGTAAATATCGAATGGATGGATAAAGAAAAGAAATATACACGCAGTTTGCACTATGACCGTTTGTCGCTAGCGTCGCATCCAATGACAGTTTAATATGTCACGCGTGTTGTAATTCGTGGTAGTTTACAGTAGTGGTTAGTTAAAGACAACTACAAAATTGTATGAGAATAGTAAATACGTAATACGTAGACAAAAATTCAACACATAAATAATCAGCCTACAGTAGGGAACATGCAACTTACCTTGTATGCTTAGAATGTACGTCACCAACTAACTTAAAATTCGATAAAGACATTTCAAAAATGAATAGACTCGCCAGTGTGACAATTTCGTACTGGTCAAAGAAACCCCTACAAGATGTACAAGAACAGATAGATTCATCAAGAATGTTAGCGGACCTATTACCAAACCTAATACTCATTTTAATAAAAACGTTGGTATGCCATCGGACCCAAAAGACTTTTTGTTTTTTAGTTTAATTTAGCATCCATAAAATAGTTATTAAATACAGACGCCAAAAAATTAGATTCATTCTCGATTCTATTAAATGTGTGTTGGTAGAAGTAGATTCCCTTTTTAAAAGATATGTCATCTAAGAATATCATGACGGCACTTAGATGACTATCTGAGACAAGGTTTTAATCAATTATGGTTATACGTTAATTATGATTATTGGAATTTTTTGAAATGCGTGAATATGAAGCAGCTGTCCATGAGCATGATAGCTAATTCTAGAAATGGTTCTTATCACGATGACTTACCCCACAGCAACACAACTCGATATGCGATGCTATAGAGCATGATATACTAGGTATATAATTTTTAAAAAATGTAATTAATAACATAACAATTGAGAGCTGCAAAAATTCAGTACAGCATATAAAAATTGAGGACATTTTTATACAAAACAACATAAATGCTCTTATAATTAATCTCAGTGACGACTCTGACAGTGAAAGAATTAGATTTAGACATTTAGAATAAAAATGTAATCATGTATAATTTAATAAGATCATACCCATTTAAATAAACAAAAAAAATATAACCAAATCCTTTGAGAGTCCGGTAGCACTTTTGATTTAGTTTTTCAATACAATTCAGAAATCATGGATGGACTTTTAGAAAACATAATATTTGCTAACCAGGATCAGGATCAGGAAAGTTTGATGAAAATGCAAATGTTTTATGACTGACACCTTTATTTCAGTACGTTGGGGTCATAACGCAATTTAAGAATTTCGAAAAATCTCTTCAGTCAGATGATCACTGATATAGCCCACTTCTTCCTCAAATTTGCTCGGAACTAGGCAGTTATACACTCAAAACTTGAATAATTCTCTTTGCTATATAAATTAATTTCAAATTTCAAATGTTGCCATTTCAAAATTTTAAATCCAAAATTAAACTCTTTTTTTATGAAACGTTGTTTTCGAGGAATACAGACAAGTTATAAGGGATGTTGGCTGATTCTATTTGATCGTGATCGATTTTCTTGGAGTCTTGAAATAATCACTGAAAATAAATATAAAATAAGTTTTATACACAATAGTGTAATAAATAATTAATTCTGCCGCTATTAAAATTAATAATAATAATAATAACAAAAATAATTTGAATAATATGATATGACAAAGTTATTGTAAAGAAATAATTTTATTTTTACCTGGTCAACCTTAGCTTCAAGTCTAGCCTTTGTCTACTCCACTGAACCAAACGGAGACAAAGGTACTATAACAAAACTATGTTAATCCTATAAAAATTTTACCCACAGATGTTAGTGATACCTGTGGAAATAAATTAAAGAAAGAATAAATTATATACATCATAACAACTTTTAGGTTATAACATTGGAGAAGAATTAATTGGTTTTATAACATTTTGGAGTCCGTTAATAGGGATTTAAAAGATATTTTTTATATTTTATTTTGAAATTATATTCTCGCAATAGTTCGAAATGCAAATGGAAAAGAAAATGGTCGTATCCTCTTCTTCATTAAATCCGTAAGTACATAGGTATTTTTAAGTAGAAATGGTCTTTCCGACCTTTAACGAATCCTCAATGACATAAACCAATCCCAAAGATAAGAAAATTAGTTTGAGTTAGTTAAGGAATTGTAAAAACTTTACTTACTGTGATTTTCAGATGCGCATTCGCGTTTTAGTATAAGTATATATATATATATATATATATATATATATATATATATATATATATATATATATATATATATATATATATATATATATATATATATATATATATATATATATATATATATATATATATATATATATATATATATATATATATATATATATATATATATATATATATATATATACATATATAGTAAGGCGGAAGGTTTGTTAATTTGTGGGGGGTTTTGGAATCGAGAATCCCAGAAACAATATATTTATATTTCATGAAATCTTCTGAAATCTTACTAATGATTATCTGCAGCTCGATTGTAAACATTAAAATAAAAAAAATATTTGTAATTAAATTTTCGAAGGCATTTTTCTCGAAAACCTTATCGACGTAGAAAACTTTATATTTTCAAATTCTGCAGTCCAAATTACGAAAATTCGACAAACAAAAAAATTCTGTATTAATTTTATTTTTTCAAAATTTAGTTAATACTTAATTTGTCTTTGTTGCAGTGGACTGGACCGTAAATTTACGTCTTTTATCGGCCCGCCAAACGCACCAGGACACTTTTATCTCGTTCGCCAAATATTGATTGGTTAATATCGAGTATATAGATAAGGAAAAGAAATAAACGTTCAACTTAAACTGGAGCACAATTTGATCGTAGTTTCTACCACGTCATAAAGTTTAATGAAATCATAACTTTGATATTTTCTCTCAATGAAAAAAAATTGTCCCATAGTTATTAGGCGTTCTCCTTCTTTTACGATTTTTTCTGCGGCAGCAAGCCTAGCCGTTTCATATCGAATTTGTCTTATAATTCCTCATTTCCGGCAAAACGATGAACCGTCAATTCTGAACGTCCGGAAATACCATCGAAGGATAGTCGATGTTTAAGGAGACGCCTATTAACGTCCTTCCTGTCAAAATTTAAACACCGCCGATCGACGCTATTGTTGTGTCTTTTATTTACGGTCGGCCAATATGTCGCAACACGATGCGGAATTAACACGTCGGGATGAAGAAAAAAAACGGGAATTAATATTTATGGGGGTCGCCCCCTTCGTCGGGGGGCGTAAATGCCGCCCCCCGCTGTTTGATTTATTTATTGTTTATTAAAAATATCAACGGGACCACAGGGATTCGTCGCGGGAGGTGGAGGGGGGGGGAAGGTGATTAATAATTGCAGGCGAGCGATTTTTAAACTTTTGAAAGTCGATCATATATATATATATATATATATATATATATATATATATATATATATATATATATATATATATATATATATGTGATGACACTATATTCCGGGATATCATCCGTTCGCTTGTTGAACTCCGACTGGAATCCTGCAGACGTTTCGCCAAAATCTCACTTCGCATCTTCAATGCTCGCGCACCGAAAACAGTGTTCGAAGAGAGATTTCAAATTCCGAATCATCGACGTCCTCAAGTCCTTGGTGCTCCCTAATTGCTATATACAGCAGGAACCTGTGCTGCCTCTGAACGGGTGCCTCTAAGTGCACATTATACAAAGGTGACCACACACAAGAACAGAACAATAATCTCAGAGACGGAATACTCTGGAAGTCCAATGTACAACGCTTAATAATACCCAAAATCTGAAGTGATTTAGACACAACAAAAGAAACATGTCTGTGTAAGTCAGTTAATGCTGACTTACACAGACCATGTTTCTTTTGTAACACTCCAAGATCCCTTATTTTGGAGGCCTGCAATAACGGTGACCCTTTTATGTCATAAGTATAATCTATGGGGATTCTGCTCCCGTTGAAGTTCATTGGTTGGCATTTATTAATATTTAGTTCCATTCCATAAAAGTCGCACCATAGCGGTACGTGATCAAAATCGGATTGGAGTTTTATACAGTCGTTAGCGTTTTGGACTCTCATATAGAATTTTAGGTCGTCAGCAAATAATAAGAAAAATGCATGATGAAAACATGAGGCAATATTATTCACATAGACATTGAAGAGTAGGGGTACCAGTTGTGATCCTTGCGGAACACCAGAAGGTTGGTTGATAAAACAACCTTTAGTAATTCTCTGGTTACAATATTGTTATAATCAAAAAATCAAGAAATTAAATTTCTTTAGAAATGAATGGCGATTGTATGAATAATTTTTTTTAAGCTTTAATCAGTGGGGCGCCATCAATGCCTGTAGGAAAATTAAGTGTCACAATGGTTTTATTTTTGAAACAGAGAGTGGTTAATAAAGGATCTCTCCATATATCTATTAGTTTTTCCCCGTAAAACTTCAAAAATTAAAAAATCACAGAGTCTGATTGTCCGCAGTCCTTGTGGGTGTACAAATCGGTCGCCGTGGATATCGTTTATCGTTTTATCAATTTCAGTGTTTAACGAGTTCCTTGAAACATCGTTTAAGATAATTTGAGCCATTACGCTACTGTCGTTAAAATACACGTTACGCGGGTGAAGAGTTAATAGGATTTCGAGGTTTCCCGTACAATTTGCATCCGCGACGGTCGTTAAAATAATCGATCTGCCGGTAATACGCCGGAAAATTGGAAAATTAGCAATTCGAGTCGATTATTAATAACAGGAAGCTAATAGAAAAGCAAAAATACTCATAAATGACAAGTTCGGGCTTTTTGGTTAGTTAGTGTAAACTACTAAAAACTGTTAGCCAAAAATGTCGCAAATAGTCGCAAAGCTTATGCCAGTTAAAAATGTCAACCTTTGAGTGATAAAAATATTAACAATTAATATGCTCTTAAAGTTGTTTATCGCATGTATTGCTTGCGCAATGAGCCAATTATATTGTTTTCATTTTAGACACACATTTAAACTCAAAATTGCAAGACTACTTTTGTTTTTTCGTTTTTAGAAATGTACGAAATATCGAAAAAAAACGTTGTTTCAATTCTGGAGTGTCTCTAGTCAGAAAAACCTTGTAGAAGAAATATTTAAAATATTTAAGTCTTTACTCGTGGTATTATATGCCCATAACCGTCCAGAAACTGCTATATCATTCCATTATTAAACATTGTGTTGTGCCTTTCTGAGGAGGCCCAAGAGGCACGTCACAAAGATTGTCGGCGATATCGCGAGCATCACACCCACGAATTGCCACGAATAAAGACTTGATGCGAATGTTATTAGTGTCCTCTGACCCCGTTATAGCCAATTACCACTACCACCTAATATATTGACTCTACTTAAAAGCCCAGAGCTTCCATACCTTACAAAAATTGACTATTTTTCGGAGACCTCCGAATATGACTGTGAGCGTATGGGTAGCGAGTCTGACATGTCATGACAGAGAGAATGACTAAAATTATAATTTACCTAGTGGGTTTCAAGGTTAAAAAAAGTATGTTAAGTAGAAAACATATCTGCCAAAAGGTTATTTATAAGACAATTCTAAGGCTTTTTCTTATCTTTTAAGTTTTTTGTGTTTTGTATGATTTCTTGCTTGCTGTGTTGTTTTAATAAGGTAGTTATATTTTCAATAAGTTAATTTAATTTAGGTAAATAGTTCATATATTTGGAATTTGTTAACCAGTGTGTTTTCTGTTTCCTTAAATACAGTTCAATTATTTCACGTGACTGCAGAAACTTTTTGAATAAAACTGTGCTGTAATGTATAATGATAATAATTAATAAAAAAATTTAAGGTTTTTAAGTAACTAGAAAATAATCGAATTAACGCAACCTAGTTGGGGCAATGGGCCCACAGTGCGCCATAGAGGAATTGAAACAATTGGAGGAAGAAGATGAATAAGGTAAAATACAAAAACAAAATGTAAAAAGTATGAAGGTGTAAAAAAACTTATTTTATAAATAACAGAGCAGTGAACAATAACAAATGTAAAGGTCAACGACACTAACACAGAGTATCAAAATCCTACAGAAAGTGCAATGATATTCATACATTTCAGCAAGCCAAGGATTTTAATGCAGTTTTTTTATTTTGATGGAATACTCGTCCACAATATAGAAACAATTTTCAAAGAGCAGCATATTTGTATTAAACACCTCAAAAACCATTTGGCAGCATATTGTACAAGTTAATGTTTAAAGAATTTTTGTTTGATGTAACAAGTCTGTGCTTTGGAACTCTTATAAGATTTTTTGCACTTGGATAACTGAGACACACCTTTCAATATATTAGTATGTTTGCGAAGTTCTAAAAGATTATGGAGAATATCTTATATTTTTTGAAATATGGAGTACAGTGTTCATTGTGCTTAGCTCCAGCAAGAATTCCTATAGCCCTTTTCTGTATCCGGCATATTTGAACAGCATTAACAGAGTTTTCCCGTAATATTGTGCCATGTGATATGTGGGAATGAAATAGAGCATAATACACTGTCATTATGGCATTTTGGTCTAGGCTCTCCCTAATTTTTGTAACGCATTGCTCTCCAGTTCCTCAATAGTGTTGTCGGACCATATAAGATAAAACTGGCATCGTCCACAAATAAAGCACATTTGACAGACCCCAAAAAACGGCATAGATCAGCAACATATAATATAATAAATACAGGGCCGAGTACAGACCCTTGGGGGACCCCATTGGAGACCTTCACCAAAGAGAATTTTCGTCTGTCAACGAACTAACCTATATTAATAATAACGGACAATGCGTCGTATCACTGTAGACTTGCTGAGATAATTCCTAATCGAATCAAGCAGTCTCTCGAGTCTAGTGGAGTCAAAAAAGGAATAAGCTAATAAGCTATTGATGGTAGTGTCAGAACAACTGTCTAGGTAGTTCCTAAGTGTTTTTTAAAAATCGCGTTTTGCGGCTTAGGCCTTATCATTGCAAATTTAATGCGACAAAGCTGCTTTGGTCAGATTGTAAACCATACAACAACGACTAAACCAGTATGGCCCATAGCAAAGTGGAAAGAACTGTTTTGTATCCATTTACATTGCGCCATCGGAGCTCTCCTCCTTTCTAGAGCTCTCGTAATGAAATTTTCTGACGAATGATCGAACGCCACCTCGTTGTCTAGAAAAGTGTCCATCACTATCTCCTTGTCGTCTTGGAGAGTATCAAGTCATCCGGAGCTGGATTTCTTGAGAAAAATAAAAATTCTACGTAAAGTACGAGAGAAAAGTGTCATGAGTTAGTACTGGAACGCGTCAACACCTCCAAAACTTCCAAAGCCGGAAAGACAAAATTCCATGACCCGAATGTTTTTGAACATGCAAAGTTCAAAAATGATAACAGCATAGAGGTTTTTGTACATTTTGCATGCTACAAAACCCTCGCGGTGTTAAATTTTATCCTTCCAGCCCAAGCAGTTTCGGAGATATTTAAGCATTCCGGTTCGGATGCTAACCCGGTAGGCGCGAAAGGGAGACGGAGAGAGAAAGTGATTGGTTGTTAGTAAACTGCAAAATTTAAACAAATTGATCCAGTTCGTATATATAATAAAGTCATAACACATAGTTCCTCGTCATTTGAAATACTATTTTTTTGACATTTGAAAGACTATTTTACTACTCAGTTATCTTCAGTTTCTCTGGATTTTTAATATTCACTAGGAGTAGAAAAAAAATCAGGATTTAATTCGACCTCGTGGAGTATTTAAGAGGAAAATTGCACTCCAGTAGTTTATAACCAAGGAAAATTGATTTTGTTGTCCGGTTTCCGCCAAAAAAAAATTATCCGTTTCCGCGGAGATCTGTCAAAAAATCCAAACAATCAAATTGATTAAACACTACAGGTTAGGAATTTTCTGTTGAGAATTTCAGGTTCTGGAATATCTTTTCTGTATTTTCAATAACGAATTTTGTATAATAAAGCAGGACCTACATTTTCGCATAACAACATCAACACTGGAACGGTTTGTGCTCATGGTGCATTGAATAGTTCGATTTTTACAAGGGCTGTCGTTCGCCTTCCAGAATAGCCGATAAAATACAGAGTGTTCCGTTTGAGGAAATGAAATTTTTAAAACTATTTTAAGAGACCTTCGGCATTATTCGTTAAAATACATGAAAGTGTGTGTCTCGCCCAAAGTATTATCGCAAATGCTACTTTTTCGAATGGGCGGCAACGTTGCATAGCTACGTAAGCGCCGAAATTTAGTTGGAGTGGCGGAGGTGTATTAAAAGAGCAAAAAAACGACAGGGCCGTACTCGTAAAATCGATTTATTGGTCAGGAAAGCTTCATTGAGTCACGACGAGTTTGTAGTATCGGACTTCCTTGTTGTTCGTGTTGCGCAATTCCAAAATCTGCTCTACAAGGGGCAGTTCGGCTTCCCAGTGTATCACCAAATCCATTGTATCCTCCGAGGTGACATCCTTGACTTCCAACGTGGCATTTTGCGACGTGAAATGTGGATCCGGAGCGACCACGTACACGCCGCTGTCCGAGAATATCGACGAAGACATCAGCAAGCTGTCGGGGAATAGGTTGACGTAAAACTTGAGGATGCGGAACAGTAGCGGGGTGTCTGCCAAAAAAAAAAAAGGTCCGTTGATTTTTTTTAAATAAAAACCAATACGGCTCTATCTTGTGAAACCTCTCAATCGGGGAAACCGAGGACAGCGACGGATTATACCATAGATCTTGGTATTCAAATTCCGTGACGGTTTGAAATACCTAAATGAAATTAAGACCGCGAATGCAAAAGGTCGTCGCTTAAACTCCTAAAACCAGAAACCTTAAAAAGAAACGTCTGGGAGAAAAAACGACTTAGGTCAGTAGTAAACTACGGAAAACATTAGAAGTTAAACAAATATTTCGAGAACCAGAAGTATGAACTACAGTCTCAGATTTAGTTTTGTTGTGACATTTCTGGGTTCCTTGTTTTCATTTTCTATTGACATTCAAGGGTCGCATTTGCCAGGTCGTTTAAATATAAACATAAAATTTCCAAATACTGGGAGGTTAAAAATTAAAAATGAAATGAACTTTTATAAAGCTTGGATAATGACGATAACAATTTGTTAAAATTAGGAACAATTGGTTTAATCAAAATTTTCCTTCGAACAAAACAATTGACGAAATTTTGTTTTGGTCATGTTTGCAAACTTTTAAACATGAAATAATTTTGAAAGATTGAACTGAGGTGACTCTTACTTGATGAAAATCCATTTATTAACATAAATAAGAACTAAAAGTTCATATTTTCACGAAATTATTTATTTTGACATAATTGTTTCGACAACACCGTGTCGTTCGATTCGAAAGGGGACTAACCGGCGTGTTTGTCCCAAAACGTGCGGTACTTCTCGGGCAGGCACATCCTAAGTAACGAACGCAGCCCGCCCGCTAATAGGTTGTTCCTGCTGGGCACGGCGACCCTCAAACTCCTGGGACAGCGCGCGCTAATGGCGGCGTCGCAGACGCAGGTGTTTAGCTGCGGAGCAGCGACCGGCACTGTCTCGCAGTGGGTGCGCGCATCGATTTGCGCCGTGACGTTCACGACAACACAGAAGTCGCCTACGCCACGACAACAGAAAAACAGGTAAAACGAGAAGCGGCCAGGTGACAGGAAACACAAGCGCAGTCGCACACTCCCGGAGGATTTTTTCGCGCCAAACTCGCAACTGTCGTGCACCACATTCACCTCTCTGGGGAGGTTACTCGCGTTGATTTCGCGCACGGAACGAAGATCGGATGGCGTCGACGGAGCGCCGTGACACTCGCGCACGTCGGCGACATACTCGACGCCCACGTAAGGGCTCACCACCTGGAGGTTCCTCGCAGTAGCTCTGTAGACGTCCGCCACCAGGTTGATCTCCTGACAGTTCGCGACGCTCGGCACTCCGACGATTACGAACGCGGTACTTTTCGCGTACCTACGTTGTCAATTATTGGTTATTGTTCGTTGACGACTTCACACACTGATGACGTAAATTTTAAAACACCTTGAAAGTTACCTTCCGGACGTCGTTGCGCGGTCAAATATTCTTGTTAAAATTTTCCAGATACGTTTCGCTATGTGACAGTCAAGAAATTTAGACGTAACATTGCACTCCCGTTTATAAAACAATACTACCTTTATTTTAAACTGTAAGGTTTCAGAATACCTAAGATATGGAGAGAGTGATTGAAGTCATTAGTTTATCGCGATTCCTAAATCAGAAATGGCTAGAAATTACAATGAACACAGCACCATTGATCTGATGAGTCATGTCTTAAAATTTCCATAGATACTCAATGGATGCTCTGTTCAGCATTCAAGTTCTAACTCTAGGTATGAAATGCGACTTCGAGAAAGCGTTTGACAGAGTGCAACGCGGAAAATTGATTCGACTACTAAAAACAACAATAATTGACGACAAGGACTTGAGAATCATTGCCACCTCTACTGGCACGAAACGGCAAATGTGAAAAAAGGAAATGATATGACTGAAAGCGTCTCAATTAAAAGAGTCTATCACCATTGCTTTTCAATTTATACTAGGAGAAAATATTCCAAGAAACTCTCATACCTGGGCCATGTTACGATCCAGCGTTTGATCATTCAGGGCAAGATTGAGGGAAACACCCCACAACAGTGGGGTTCCTGTTTTTTAATAGTTTAAAATGTGGAGAATGTTCCCCGGTTAGAAGAATACACCGAAAACAACGCATACGACGACGAAGGCGAAGATGCTAAACAAATTGTTTTTAATGTTTACAGTTTTATTCAGAAGGGCAAGTAAGCAATAAAAACGATTGGCATAAAACTTAATAAATTGTTACTGTGTACTATTTTTTTTATGTACATGTTTCAAGAGTTGCTCGCCGAAAAAGATTGAAAACATAGTTATATCCCGCTTGTTAGTGTAGGTAGATAAATTCCTAGGACGGTCCTGGGATCGTTACGGTTTTTGCGGTTTTGGAGGAACAAACAGTAGGCAAAGTTGGTTGGTTGTAAAAGTACTATAATTATGGTCGAAATATACCTGTAACCGGACGACTCGCCAGATAGTACGAGCGTCGCGCGCACGGGCAACATCTCCGTCGCCGCGTACGTCACCCGGACACGCTTCCGACCCCTCCGTACGATCTGAATCTCGACGTTGTCGACGCCGAATCTCCCGGCGCCGTTCCCGAAGAATATCGCTCTATACTGGACGGTAGCGTCGCCGCAGTTGCGCAGCTGCAAATCGTGGAAACCGCGCCCGGACAGCGGCGCTTCGATCGTGACCGTTTGCTCCGGATGAAACGAGGGCAGAACGTCGTAAAGATACGTGACGATCAGCAGGATCTTGACCGCGTACGCCTTGACGATGGCGCTGGGGTGAATGTCGAACGACAGGTTCAGTGATTTCCACGCTTGGACGACGCGACACGCGTTGTGCGTCAGTTCCGCCTCGTTCTTCGGCGCGACGTAGAGGTCGCCCAGGCGATCGGCCAGGTACGGGCAGTACGCTATCGTGACGGTGGCTAAAGGGCCGCTGTCGTACGCTTCGCGAAACGCGTGGAGCCGACGCGGTGTGTCCGGCGCCGCGGCGCCCCACAAGGTGCGTTTCTCGCGCTCGTAGTGATACTCGAGCCACAGCAGGAGCGTCGTTTCGCAGGGGTGCGAGTCGCGAAACCTGCGATCAGAACGTCTATCGATGATTGATGTTTTACAACGACGTAATGCATCGAAAAAGCCATAAGAAATTGTCGAACTTCCATTGCACAACGCTTCCCGTTATCAAGTGTCGACCAATTTCTCCACGTTTGGGTTGCTTCAGATGTTTCTATTGTTTTCCTTAGACTTGCGCTTTTTCCAATATAGTTCCTTGTGGAGAACCCAGATGAAATTGATGTTTTGTTTTGTTATGAAGCAAATCCTTTTTAATACTGGTTAATTCTACTTCGAGCGATGCGTCGTCACTGCATATTGTAATTGCTTTTTCGCAGTGTGTTTCGAAGAATCCTAGTTTGGTTGCTTCAGAGTGGTTAAACTCGAAAATAAAATACTGCCCGGTATGTGCAGGTGCTGATAGAACTACTAGGATCTGTAGAAACGATAGGCAGCCATTCTCTTTCTCAACGGTAAATTTAATGGGCGGTCCCAAAGAATTAAGATGATTGAGAAAATAATCTAGACGTCTATCGGTTCCGTTCCACGTGATGAAGATATCGTCGCATCGTGATAACTGGTAGTGCCCGCAACGTTGTGTAACCAAAAAATGAAGACAATGGAATTTCGATATTCTCTTAGTATTTCTACTGAATTATTGTCTACCGCCTACAATTATATGAAAAAGACATCGTTGCATCCATAAATTCCAACTGCAATTAAAGTGGTTACGAAAGACTGATCATTGGATAATAAAAGGAATAGTTATAATTTTTTAAGAATGTTTATTCTAAAGTCAGTCAAGCGAAGCAATTTTATTTTTATTGCTGAGCAGTTTACAAAATACTCGAATAGGCAGCGAAATATATCTTTGGAAATTATTTAAGTCACTTTTACGCAACGGCGGTATATTTCGCGTACATAGTGCTTAATTGTTTATTATTATTACTATTATTATCTATAAACTAATAAATAAAAAATAAAGAATTAATTTTCGGTAAAAAGGTGCACATATCAATTAACAGTATATAAATGTTACACTGTTTAGATTGTGTAGTATATTTTATTTTGTTTCTTTATTTTAATGTTCTGCGTAATTCTACGAGACATCGTTAATTTTCTAAATTTTCAAGTTTTTAAGAAATATGTATTTAACTGGTGGTAAAATTATTCATTGTGTGGTCACCATGTGTTATTAATTCTTAAATTAAAACTAGAAAGTAGCTAGAGTTCGATAGGTGAAACAGGACGAATCATCCATTGGGGACGTTGGAGACAATGCAGCAGTAGAATGGACGCCATTGTGATGGCGACTTCATCAGTTCAATAAACCGAAACACGCATCCAAGACCTGAATACCATTGGACATCTTTAGGATGAATTGGATGGGAGCTTCTCTAGTTATTTCCATCGTTTATTTGCAAATTTTTTTAAATGAATCTGATCGGAACTTGCATAAACACTTTCGACTTGAAAAACTGAAACCATCGCGTTAATAGCGGGGAACATAAGAAGTATATGCCGTTAAAAACTCTGGTCACTATTCCAAAACTTTACAAAAATTAAATCTTATTCAGTTGTTTTTGTTGTTCGTTAACCATTCCTGCCAACCTGTTTGCCTCACGTTCGCGATACGCCGCGAAGTCGACGCAAGATGGCGTCGCCCGCAACTCAACCGCCCGTTCCAGCACGAGCGTCTTGTAGAGGTGGAAAAACAGTTCGATCCATTTCTGTTTGCTGAACAGGTAGAAATCGCCTTCAGAAAGCTCGGGTTCCGGTGACGAAGGTCGTTCCTTGTCGACGAAGGAGGTTCGAAAGTGGCGGTATTCGCTGTACGGTAACAGATGTTCCGGTCTGAGGCCCGGCACCCAAACCTTCTGGCTCTTCAGGAACGATATCGTGTCGCGATAAGTGGTGTAGTTGTGCAGCACCAGGTCGTCGAGCGATTCGCCTGGCGTCGAACTATATAGATTATACGAACAAAAAAATTTACTCGAGTTTTACTAGCCCAGATATTTGTCGTTGTTAACCTTTTCTAAAAGAGATTTCCTTTTATGGACGTAGAAATGCTCTTTTTGGGTATTGCAAACATATGTCGGGATGTAAAAGTACGAAACTGATTTCGACTAAGATAACAATAATCATAGATGAAACATTTCAATCTGAAGAAGAAAGACGAGCTTGAAAATATTTGCCGAAGAAAACGGTTAACGGTTAACGGTTATTCGTGTTGTTTTGCGAAAATATACCCAAAAACTAACGGTCGTAAAAAAAGTGTAGTATGCAACACGTTCGGTAAACTTTTTAACTCACTAGTTTATTAAAAACTCGCTCCGCTCATGTCAAATAAACTATTGTTAATTTCAATTTCGAAACTTCCACAAGGATTCCTTTTTCTTTCGGATTCCTGTTGCGTCAGTTAATGCATTTTACTCTGTATCTGCTTATTTTTTTGTTTGAGTCGGCGGATGACTGATTCAGATATTTGGTAAAAGGTAAAGAACTGAGGCGCAGTTCAGATTGTTTGGTTGCTTATAGATTTCTAAGGACTGTCGGATTTTTCGTTAAGAGAAAAATTTTTGGTTCGGATGGTGATGTGACAACACATGAGTGTTTTTGTCTGTTTGCGTAGGGTTTCTGTAAACAGAATGACCCAACGTGAGTTTTCAATTCAAAACGTATGTTAGGGTGCATAAAGTTTAAAATGACTAAAAACATCTAGCAGGCATTGTTGATGATGAGGTCCAAGACTTCCATATAATAACTCGTGATAATGTTGTTCCCGACGTTTAAAAATTTACCCGTTATAAGACAAATATGTCCCAGAGAACCCTATTTCAACTAAGACGAGATTGCTTGGTTCCAGATTCCCGAATAGTAATATACCTGAAATAATATTGAAAGTTTCAGGAATCGGGACTTCTACGTCGAAACTAACCAGGATATCCTGTGGATCTAATATAATGCTTTTCAATTGTTAAATACAATGAAAGGAATTAAGTACCAAACTATCGATTTTCTCTGCAACAAGAGATTGAAGGGGCAACCGTGGTTTTTGAATCTTAGACAGTCCGTAGAGGCGATCAATTTTGCAGTTATGAGGATTGACAGACTTTTTCACGGATTCTGATAGAGAGGAAGCTTCAATAACAGTTTAAAGCTTGCGTTCCATAAATGAAGTTGGCAATGAGACCCGTTTGTAAGAATCTCTCGGATCTTTTTCCAGATTTGGCGTCTTACCCGGAATCGATATACTTCAAGATCGAAGCATCCATCAGGTTGACGAGCAGCTGGACGAGAGGCAGTCGCGGCGGCGGTCTCGCCTTGGCGTCCCTCTTTCCGCCGCCGGTCCGGACCGGAAATCGCGCGATGTCCTCCGGCACCCGGCAATAATTCCGGCAAAAGAACCCCTGACTGTAGAGCCACCGTTCGATCACCGGCACGACCGACGTCATGCGTCGCGCATAGAAAGACGCGTCGTCCTTTTCCGGGAAATACGGATACGTGGTCGTCGATGCTGCGTCCAGCGACGACGCGAAATTGATCAGCGTGCAGCTGTCCGAGCAGGCGTTGACGACGACGCAAGTAGTCCAACATCCACAGGAGAACTTCACGTGCGATTCGATCCTGCGATCGACGCCCCGCGGCTCGAACGTGATCCTGTAGCGACGCGCGTCGTTTCGCTCGCTTGTCACTCGCAAACACGAGTCGCCCGACTCGCACGTCACCCGCTCGCAACCAAGGTGCGGGTCGAAACCGACGACGACCGTCGTCTCCGCCGTCGCGTCGTTCGCAATCGCCGGCAGGTAAACGGCGGCGACGTCGCACAAGAGCGCGGGTCGCGGGTTGCGTCCCCGCAGCGTCAAGTAGTTCAAGGAAGTCAAGTCGTCTCCGACGAATATCGCGAGTCTCTCGGTCGCGTCGCCGAAGTCGCGTGGTACGTACGTTACAGTCACCGAGGCTCGGTCGTCCGGGTCCAAGGCAAACGGCGACGGCGACGCTTCGATCGTGAAGTCTCTCAGGGCGCCAGCATCGAGAGACACCTGGAGACGCCGTTCGGCGACGTTGACCATCTCGAAGACGCGGGGCACGTCGCCCGGCCCGAACGACACGTCTAGCGCGTTAAAAACGAGCCATGGCGACGACGCCGCGCATAGAATCTTCAAGGTGCCTATCCTTTCCGGCGCCGACGCCTTCGAGAACCTGTCCGTCGTCGTCATCGTCGAGCGAAAATGCGTCTTGGCGAGCAGCGACTCCGGCCGGTTCAACTCCGGCGGCCCGATCAGACCGTTCACTACAGTGCGAGAAATATGTTACGTAGTGTAATTAATATAAGCAGATACGGCAAGTTTAATTTCGTTTCTTCAAGTTATGTTGAAAAGGAGAAACTAATTGACAAAACACAAGCCGGTTTTAGGAGGGGACACAGTTATGCTACAGCGCTTCTTAATGTGACAGATGACATCATCAGACGAATTGATGAAGGTAAGTGCGCTGTGTTGGTTCTACTCGATTGTTCTAAGACTTTTGATACCATTAGTCACAATATTCTACTCACTATTCTTAAATACTTAGGTTTTGGGGAGGCATCCGTAAATTTAATTAAATATTACTTAAAAGGGAGAAAGCAAAAGGTGGTCCTGAACGGGGTCGAGTCTGCTTGCCTAGACATAAGAAGTGGAGTTCCTCAAGGTTCAATTTTAGCTCCTGTTCTGTTTATTATTTTCACAACAAAATTATTAGATTATCTCAAACATTGCAAAGGACAATCATATGATGATGACAAACAGTTTTACCATGTTTTTGACCCCTCTAGATTGCAGCTTGAGTGCCAAAATATCAACAGTGACCTTGAACGAATTGACAGAATTTCCAGAGATCACGGTTTGCTTTTCAACAAAATCTTCTGTAATGTTTTTTGGTCGGCCGGTGGATGTTAAGCGTCTTGCTTCTGAAGTAATCATAAAAATAAACAATATTACTCTTCCTCTTCAAAACGAGGCAAAAAAATTGGGATTACTTTTAGATACAAAACTTCGCTTTGAAAAGCATATTTCGACTTGTACGCAAAGGGCTATTGGCCGTTTAAAAGGGTTGTATAGCTCAAGGCATATTCTAACTCGAAATCTTAAAAAAACCTTATGCGATACTCTTGTTCTCTCCGTCTTTAATCACTGTGATGTCGTATATGGGCCTTGTTTGACAGCTAATTCGTCCCAACGTATTAAAAAAATTCAAAAATGCTGCTCGAGGTTTACTTACGGCATCCGCCGCTGAACACCTATCAGCTACAAGCTGAAGGAAGCGGGTTGGACGAATATGAAGACGCGGCGCTTGATCCATCGCTGCTGTCTTTATATCAAAATAATTAAGACAAAATAGCCGGAATACCTCTCGGAAAAAATAACTTTTAGAACAGACGTGAATAGCTTAAATCTAAGATTTAAAGGGGTCATAAGTCCTCGTCACCGATCTGATATATTTGAAAGATCTTTCAGTTACGACTTGGCTAAACCATATATTGACCTGCCCTATTCCGTTCAGAATGCGACAATAAATTCTTTTCCAAATAAACTAAAAACATAGTTATGTTCTAGATTTTAAAGAGGAAAAAATGAAAAAAAACATTGAGAAGTTACAGAGCGCAGGAAGAATCTAACCAATGTGCACTGCTAGAATTCTTTAAAAAATTGTGGTACTTACGGTACTTTAGCTAATAGTTTTTTTATTTAGAGAGATAGGTTTAGGTTTCTCATTCTGTTATATAATTAAGTGGGTACTTAACGTATTGTAAATTGTAAACATTAATTAAAACCATGGTGTGATGTAATGTGTAAGGATAAGTGTAGAAATCAGCAAGCAGATACGTCTGGGCGCTGCACTCTTGCCTTTTCTTGTAATTTTTCTTGTCGAAATTACCTGAATAAAGTATATTATTATTATTATTATTATTATTATTATTATTAATGATAATAATAAAGATTTATTCAATCGATTGAATATTTTCAACACACCAGTTTTGCCTAAAACCAAACGTAATTAGATATACATAATGACAAGCAAAAGTGCGTAAATAACGACTACTTAACCATAAAAACGTTATTATTAATTAGTATTAAAATGTAAGTTTGCAATCGCAGGGACCGTTACACGAGGAGAACAATTTTTTTTAAAGCCTATACATGCTAAATCGTTTTAAAATTATATTGAATATACTAATTTTAATAGTATCGTCCCGATAAGGTAGAAAGTGAGGATCGAACGCATCACCCAAAATCGCGAAGATTTAAATTGAAAAATACCGTTCGTTTTCGAAAGTTTGTTATAAGAAAATCGAATCATTTCAAATCATAAATATTTGTCATCGTGTTTTTAGTCAGGCGTTGGACTTGGGAGGAATAATAGCTTCCTACTGTCTTATTTTGATTTTTTTTACAGTGTTTTTATACCCTATTGCAGGATCGCTTCAACGGTGGTCTCATGCCTTTTTACTACAATTCCGAGTAATATGGAAGAAGTCAAAGTTGTTCTGAAGCGATTTCATTTTAGATTTTATTTGCTATATGACGCTTTTCATTTTTATTTATTACAGTTTCATTCCTTCCTGTATTTCTCTTTGGCGAACTGATTCGAGAGCGTTTATCTCATCAACCGAGTCAGTATACGGTTAACTGTTCAATTGCATCTATATTTGAACACATTTCAACTGCTTTTGCCAATGCGAATGTTGAAGTTTGGTGGCGAAAAGCAGTGCTGGACCCATCGATATTAATTTTCTCACTTTTACTAATTCGTTACTAACTTTTTAAACTGTCAAATCATCATAAGTAGAAATTGCTGACGTTTCGCCAATCATCCTGATGGCTTCTTCAGTTTCAATCAAGCACTTACGCACGTAGGGCAGGTAGACGCAGAATGCGGCCGGCTCCATCGGTTTGAACACGACGCTCAGGGTCCTCGACTCGTCCGGTTCGAGTTCGACGGGCGCGTCCAGGGGCTCGCCGGTCCGGCTGTGCACAGCGAACGCCTCCAGATCGTCCAACGGGAAAGTTACCGTCGTCCTAACCGCCGAACGGTTCGTCATCTTGAACGGGTACGAGGCGACCGCCCCCGCCGGTATCTTCTCCATCTTGATCATCTGCGGCTCGAACGCGACCTCCGGACAGACGACGTTGCCGGACACGCGGACGGTCGCCGAGTACTCGTGCTGAAAAACCATCTTCAGCGGGCAACAGAACTCAGCCGCGTAGCGGAACAACGCGGCGACCGCGACAATGATTTCGCCCTTGGGGTTGACGAGCGCCTTCGTCGGGCTGACCGTCAGCTCCGGCATCAGCCCCTCCTCTTCCACGCTAAACTGTATCAGCAGGTTGCCGTCGTTCCTCACGACGAACTCCCTGACGACGGTCACGTTGATCGGCACGTGCTCGAACGCGATCTCTTCGACGCTGAGCCCGATCGGCGCCTTTTCGTAGCCAAAGTACACCTCCACCAGCTCCTTGGCGCCGCTCTCCGAGATGACAGTGATCTCCTTGAGGGGCAGGTATCCGATACCGGGTCGAAACGTCACCGTGCACACCATGTTGGCCCGCGACGGGATCGTCCCCTCAGAAGGGAACGCCTTCAGGTGGAAGTACTTGGTGTCGACGGCGAAACGGACGTTGCTGTTGAGCGGGTTGCGGAGTTCGAGGAACGCGACTTTCTCGGTCGGATCGATGAAGATCTCTTTAGTGACGCACTTGACGGTGCTGGCGATGACTTGCGCGAGCACGGTCGCCTCGAACACGTGGAACAGATTGACGACGACATAGAGCGGCACGTGGCGTTTGCCCATCGAGTGAGATCGGTAAGCGAAAGTCACGTCGACGGACGCGTGAGCCGCGACGGCGAAACTTTCGCGCGGGAACGTCAGCGTCGAGTACATCGCCTTGAGGGAGACGCGCACCGGGAAATCGTTGCCGTTTCGGACGGTCAGGCTGGCCGAACGGGCGTAGCCGAGAGCCAGCTACGAAAGATAATTCAATCCAGCAGCAATCCTCCTGCTGGTTTCTTCAGAGCTAAACTCAACTAAACTATACAGTTGAGTTCGGAAACTTAGAGGAAATATTCAAAGTGGTAAAATAATGGTTGTAAGTCATGTGACAAAAATTCGAAATCGTAATATTTTCCGCAACGCAAATCAGCTGGTATTTTACACACAGATCTGATTTCAGAAATCTTTTTTTATTTAAGCAGAATCACAGTTCCTCAAAAATTGTTATTCTCATTTTAAGTAGGCCAATCGACTTTTTTATTCTCGGCTCAAATTTAACCAGTAAATGTGATTTTACCAAACAGGACAAAAGGAAATGTGAAAAAATCATTGTCACGATCCGTTAAAAATTGTTATTTTGTTCACTAAATTCAGTCGTGATGGCATTGTAAATTTTCGAAATATGCATCACTAGAACATTGAAAACCACACAGCGCCGGTTTTCTTTAAATGTATGGACAGGGATTATAGGAGATAATCTTATAGTACCTAATTTCTTTAGCAAGACTGATGACTTATTCCCATATTCCCATATTCCCAATTTTCGTTGTCAGAAGAATTGATGATATGCAAGAATGTTAGTTTTATCGAATAGGTTGCGATTTGCGCTTTCGTAATTTTATCTATGAAGGCTCGAAGATGTTGGGCTTGTCTGGTTTTGAACTTTTATTTCTTCAGACACTTTGATATGTGTGTTACTTTGAATGTACTTTGGAAGTTTAAATCGAAGTATATTTTGTGATTGATTGAGTGATTAATATCTCTAATATATAATAATAAACCATATATAAAAAGTTCATAAAAAATATAACGTCAAAACCAGATTCACTACTGGTCCAAAAATCATAAAGCATTGCTGGTGTAAGTAGTAAGTGAGTGTAGGTAAGTAAGTGTAGGTATTAGCGACGACCTTTGAGTAAAACAATTCGATCAACCGTGGAAAACAGGTGAGCAAGGGCCCTTAAAAATGGATGCTTGCCAGTATGGCTTAGTACACTGTCTAATATTCCCCAGCCAAGATATTTTCTTCCTTCGGAACTCTCTGCTGCTTTCAATGATTGATATTTTTCCTTTCTTATTATATACCGTTCGTGCAAAATAAACTAGTCACTCAACGCCGTTTACCCACACTTATTATTATGCATATTATTCTATGAAATGACCTGAAACGGTTTGACTATTCATCCAGTTCGCTTTTTTTCGCGTTTTTGGTCGAAGTACCTTCCCCAAATCGATGAACCGCGGCGACACTACGATGTTGCGGAGCTCGTACGCGTTCAGCGACGTCGGCGTCGGTTTCTCGATCGCGGCGTCGCGACGCGCCGACGGCCAATTCGGCGGAGGTTGAGTCAGCCAGGGGGCGATGTCGGTCGTCTCGTAGTCTTCTTGCGGTTGATTTTTCGAAGCTGTCACCCTCCTGCGCGCAGCCGACAGCTCTTTGATGTAGCGATCGTAATAAGCGTCGTTCGATCGTTTGACGTCGGCGTGGTCGGGCTCGAGGTCGTAACGTTCGTCGAACGTCGCGACGCAGCGAGGCAGATTAGCGAATATTGTGCGGCACCTAGATATTTTATATTATTTGAAAAATGTGATGACACTATATTCCGGGGTATCATCCGTTCGCTTGTTGAACTCCGACTGGAATCCTGCATCCGACTGGAATCCTGCAGACGTTTCGCCAAAATCTCACTTGGCATCTTCAATGCTGGCGCTCCGAAAACACTTCGAACACTGCAGGATTCCAGTCGGATGCAGGATTCCAGTCGGAGTTCAACAAGCGAACGGTCGTTTTAGAGAAGAGACCATTTTCATTAAGGATTGATCAAGGGAGCTAAATTTATTGACAGCGTCCGTCGATGCTTTGACCTCCGTGAGAATAAGCTCGAGAATGTGGCTCAAATTGGCGGAGGTCATCAGACAGTCAAGGCTATCTAGGCCTGAAAGCCAAAAGTGCTCAGTGCTCAGACTATCCATCTACCGATCAGTGGCGCATCACTAGCGGGGGGTACTAGGGACTCAATTCAAGGGGTGTTGGACTTCAGCGGCAGAGAGTGAAGATATGCGGGTCTAATAAATCGAAATATCTCAATATTTCAATGTGGAATAATTTTATCTGATCGACAGATCGACATTGTTAAGACTATTTTTGTCAGATTTTAAAATATCGCTAATTTTGTGTAACGATGATGAAGCACTTCATATATTGTCATATATTCAAGGTGGGAATTTCAGTCGCTAGTATTGACATTAAAATGCACTAATTTCAATTGTAGAAACTAAGTTTCAAAACATTTCTTTTCAGAGCATTTATCGAATTCTATCCGAGATTGCATCCGGAATATGAATTTAAGCAAAAGTAAAATCCAGCGGATTTCAACATCTCATAGATGAAGACCGACAGTGAAGAAGATACTGTTTACGTATCTAACATTTAATACGGCGCCACCGCCTAATTTAAAAACACACATTTCTGGTCAAGCGAAAATCCCCACGAAATATTGCCAATTAAAAAAATATGGTCTCCAACCAATTGGGGTTAGGCTTCTGGGAACCTCTTTTTTCGATTTCCTTCGATTTAGAGTAGAAGAACATATCCAAGAGTTACCTCTTGCTGTGATCCCAAATATAGTAAGCTAGAAGGAGAGGGCACCATGTCACAATGTAGAAGACTTAAGAGACTATTTGAAAAAAAAATATCATGTTTGGATAAGAAAAATGGAGTAATACTCTTGCTTCCTAGCAGTCCAGATCTTACTCCCCCTGATATCTTTTTATAGGGATTCATAAAATCGGGATTACATAGAACAAGGCCGGCAAAAACTCTGGAAATATAAAATAAAACTAAATCCGTCAATCCGTCAATATAATTTTAGGACATTTCAACCTGTAGGTACCAGATTTTTGGGATTTTGGACAGTTCGTTTAAAAAAAAAAAACAACAATAAATAAAATAAGGTTGTCGTCTAGATTCTAATTATGCTACACACTTAAACACAGAAAAACTCATTTTTGACGACAATTTTGATATTTTACGTACAGCCACAAAAAGTAGAAAATTAAATTTATTGGAAGCCAGGAAGTTTGTAAATATTACATTTGATAAAGACACGGTGTTGTCGAAACAATTGCCATGTCAAAATATATAATTTCGTGAAAATCTGAACTTTTAGTTCTTATTTATTTCGAATACAGGGTTTTGATTTAAAAGAAATGGCGACCTATCAAAATTTTATATTATTGATTGCAGAATCGGAAGCTTATCCATTTAGTAATTTAAGCCCGATAGAATGGGGTGTAAACCGATGTGAACCTACGGTTTCGTCGACCTCCAAGGGCGCAGGCTCCGCGGCCTATCGTTGGGGAACGCCACAAGGGCGTTGTCTGTCTTCCGAAAGCCCTTGTCGACGACGGCCTGGCGCGGTTTTGCGACGTCGCTATCGAACGTCACTTCGTCCACCAGATAGCCGACCTCGTGAGCGACTAGCGGCGTGATCCCGGGCAAAAACGACGGCGTTTTCGCTGCGGGACTGTACGTCCCTCGGTACTTGATCCGACAATGGACAGATTTCAGCTTGACGCGGCGCTCATCCGCGACGCAGCGCACGTCGAACGCGACGGTGACGCTCTCGTCGCCCATTTTGGTCGGCGTCACGCGTAGCGCGACTTCGACGGCGGCGCCGGCGCCTACGTCGAAATCCCTCGGAAAGGCCTCGACGCATGCGCGTTTCACGTAGCCGCAACGCACCGCCAGGCGTTTGGAGTCGTTCGCGACGGTCACGGCGACCACACGCGTCTCGTTAACCTTCGAGTCTCGCAAGTCGACTTCGTCAGGCGTCACTCGCACTAGAAGCGGCTCGACTTCGCCGTAGAGGCACACCCTTATGGAGTCGTCGATTAGAACGACCTCGTCCGTACGGTATCGTCCGTTGAAGTCCATCTGCGACGGAACATCTGCGAAAGACGGACGTCTCAGTCTTTTTTTTAAATAAACTACAGTAATACTATTTACAAAGCTTCTGGATGATTATCGAAACTTCAGTAAGTTCGATTCATTATGGAAGATTTGTAAAGAGTCTCCACTAGGTTCTTTATACTCTCGCGAATAGACGACGCCGTCAAAACAAGAAGTTCATCGACTATCCATCCTCGCTGCTGAAGACCGACGTCTATTCTAGTTTTTTTTCCAAAAACCCTAAAGTAATACTATTTACGAATGTTCTGGATGATTGGCGAAACGTCAGTAAGTTCGATTCATCAACAATATAGAAGGTTTGTATCTAGGTTATTTATGATCGTGAGTAACCGATGTCATCAAACCATGGCGCTCATCTACTATCCATTCTTGGAGCTGTCCAATCATCGAGTAGCTAAATTAAAGTATCTTGGGACTTAGACTACTACGTGGAGGTTAAAGCCAGAATCGAATGTGAAGTAATCCTTTCAACGCTACCGATTCGACCGTTTTAAGCTGATGTAGTATAATATGTGGCGGATCAGTTGATTTTGACTAAAATCTTATTGAAGTCGACTAGGAAATACGTGACCGTATGATATAGAAACTGAGATGCTGAGTTGATGTGTGCAGGTTCGACGTAGTTTTCGACGCAATGTGTGATGCAAATGGCCAATTTGACTGTAATCTGATCGAAATCGCCAAAGAAAGGTTTTGTCTATCGACTGCAAAAAGGTTATTGTATGACACAGAAAGTGAGGTTCCAAGTTGACATCGGTAGGTTGGCGGAAAAGACGATTTCGGTTGGAATTTGATAGGAGAGGAAACTATCAGAGAGGTTTTAAACTGTTATCTGTAGGTATGGTATCGTTTTCGGTGTAGCGGAATAATCGATTTGATTGAAATCGATAAGAAATTGTAACTGTGTGACACAGAAACCGAGATTCCCAGTTGATATCTGCAAGTTGGGCGTAGTAACTTTTTCAAACGGTTTGGAAATTGACGCTTTTGAAAGTGGACATTTCGTCGAACGAGAATATCTTAGACGAATAAATCCCTATAACTGCTCATCTATTACAAACGATCATCAAAGATATTTTACCTTTGATGACACATGTCTTGGATGAAAAAATATCCCGAATCCAAGGAAAGAAAGTGCAACAGCGACGTTATATATGATTTAGTCTCTTTAGACTTAAAAATTAACTACTAATTACCCAATAGAGGGGACGCGACGGACGTGATCTGATCGAGGACGTGTTCACCTGGAAAACGATTGCTTTAACGATTGCAAGATGGTATGGGTTCCCGAGTGGTACTTTTGGTGTCGGGTGCGTGACCCACCGAGCATTTTACGACGTCGATGCGGACGAGGCAGATGTGGTAATTGGGAGGGTTCTTCGCACGCCGCGGCGGTTCGTACCTGCGACAATAAAATACGTCCACTTCCATTGTATAAAAACCTTCGTAACTAGCAGGTCAAGATTCCTAAAGATGTTGTTATACTTTGACCAGAAATATAGTGCGTTTACAACCGACCCCGTGATTAACTTTGCCTACTGTTTGTTGCTCCAAAACCGCAGCCCCTTATCGAACGCCCTGCCGAGCACAGTAACAAGCGGGATATAAATATGTTTTCAATCATTTGCGCCGAGCAATTCTTGAAGCATGTACATAAAAAGATTAGTACAAAGTAACAATTTATTACGTTTTATTTCATTACATTTCTACATAGTATCAGTATTAATATACAAAATATTAAATATAATAATAATAAAGTATCAGTCACTTAAAAAATCATCACTATCGCTACTATCGTCACCTAGTATAATTTTCAACTCCGCCCTATAAATACAATCTTCTTTTATAACTCGTTTTTCACAGTTAGAGCAGCTTTTATTTTAGCTAATTATTGCCGCATTACTTTTATGGTACTAAATTTTTTCAACTTAGATCAAATCATCTCGATCGTGTTAACTATATGGAGGTAATCTCAAGAATTCTTGTCCGTTTTGTTGTGCTATCGAATCGATCTTGTAGTCCTTATTAAAATGTTTTTAATAATTCCAGAAGTTGCATTTTCGTTTAGCTCTCTTCAAAATATATAGAAAGTATTCTTTATACACAATAACAGTCACTATAACACAATAACAATATTTGCCATTAGTTTTGGTTGGCACTTGAATCTTTGACGTGTTTGGCAGATAAAAATAAGGCATCTTCTGCCCAGCCATTTTTGGACCCAGCATTATGCGTTTTCCAAGTATTCCTTTTTTTTACTGTGTCGTGAGTGGCATTGGTTATTGGTCTATTTTGCTCTCGAAATTTTGCAATTGCATATAAATAATCCACCCTCCATTGCGAGTTTTTTTTTTTCACTTTTCTCTTCATTTCCAACAATTTTTCTTACAGTCGACTTCGGAACATTGGTCATGTCATTTGTTTTCATTGCTGCTCCCCTTCTGAGTTTCTTATAAAATTGTAAACATTCAAAACAAGTTGTTCAGGACCAAAAGACAAATTTATCCGCTTTTTTATTTGCTGAGGTAGTTCGTCTTCTAAATTGTAATTAGGTTCGACTACCATCTCCACTTGGTCTTCAAATTCAGCGTTGTTTTATATGTCTTCTTCCAACAGCAAGCCGTACAAATGTGGTGGTTCGCTGTGGTGTGGTGTGAGCGATCGTCTGGTGTTTTCCATAAGATAATCTCCTTATTTACTAATTATTTTGTAAATTCTTCTTTCCAGTAGCGCAGTTGGGTTAGTAACCTACATTTTTCATCTCTCAATACATCGTAATTACTGGTATTTAGAACTCCGGTTGGCTTCTTTTTGTCTTGAACTTCAAGCTTTATGGTCTCAACTGTACTTATCATATCTTTGAAACCAGAATCAATCTTTGCCTAACTTTAGAGAAACGGCCTTTTACTTCTTCATTCGTGGCATTGCAAGTAAAATTAAAGACCGCACAAGACGCAATGTACGCTTACGTAAACTCGACGAGGGACCACTGGCGCGGATGGAGCCTGCCTTGCGTCGGAAACGCGTCGAATGCGCGGAACTCTTCGTATTTGCGTCGCGCATCGGAAAAGGCCTGAAAACGAAACGTCGGATGTAACGCACTATGTAAATATCACGCGTGCACTACGAAATTGCGCAATAAAGCGACATCGCGAAAGAGTAACAATAAAAGTAAGTATTTAGAGATTTTTAAGACAAACGGGGGATGGGTTAAGATGAACGGGAGTTGACCAGAAAAAAATAAATCTTTAAACCGATACGAGTGGATATGTTGAGTTAAGCTCTGGAGATGCCAAAAGGATGATGGGCGAAACGTCAGCAAGATTTTTAAATAGAATCACAGTACGCGGTGGAAATTACTTGGAAAAATTAACTGAAATAGCAAGCTATTAAAACTTTACGATGTAACCCGGCGGGCAATGTAAAATTTTTTAATTAAAATGCTTTTAAAAAGCAGATTCGATAAGAAATCGATATCGTGCGACTTACGATCGTCTCGTCTCTTGTGATGGCGACGACGCAAAACGATGCGCGCGTCGAGCTCCGATTGGCGAACACGATGCTGCGACGTTGCCGTGTCCCCGCGTACGACCTCGGAAAAGCCAAAATGAGGAAACTGGGGTCTGTGGCGGGAAAGTCGAGCGCGAGTTTCGGCTCGACGAAGCTGCCTTGCACTTTGACCCGATGGAGCGGTTCCCCCTTGATCCAGAACTCCTGCGCGAAATATCCCCGGCTGGTGCCCAACACCTCGACCGTTATCGCCTTCGTTTCCAGGGGCTGAAAATGCCCCGTGCGAATGATTTTATTTAAAATTTCAATTCACAGCTTTGACGCCATATTACATTTGCTCTTTTGCAAATAAATCCATTAAAATCGTCGCTAGATCTCGAAAGATCGAAAAAAAAAAAGTTGATGAATTTTCTCTGTTCTCTGTTTTCCGCATAGGACCTTCGGAAAGTATTTGAAGCCCGATAACATTCGAACGGTTGTAAATGCTTACTTCAAATTTTCCTCCATACTACTTCCGGCTGATGGCTCGCAAAATATTGCACCGTTCAGACATCGACGGCGATTTTGTCATCCATTAAGGGTTATTCACTCGGAACATAGCTACGAATCAAAGTAAGTTGCCCAAATTTCGAGTTATCGAGTTGAGGCTCAGGCAGGAGTTTTTATTTCCATCCCCATATTGAAACCAGGCGGAATCGAAAGCCGCTAACTACTTTTTAAAAATTTTTGAACATTTCGGAATCACAAAATTATGATTTTCTCGAAAACGGATGTCCGATAGTAAAAAAATTCGAAACGGAAGACGCGCCAGATTCGAGAAAATAACCGGAAAACAGAGTGTCCGAGTTATGAGCAAAAAACGGAAATTTACAAAGAGCAAACGGCGCGGTTTCGTGAAATCAACTTGTTTAATACCTGAACCGTCCCCTTCAAAGGTCGTACGCTCAATTCCGATTCGTTTCTGCCCAGGTCGATCGAAAATTGGGCATTCTTCGTACCTCGGTTCGTCAAGCGTAGGGTTTTCGCTTCGGACACGTGACCGACATCGATCTCGCCGAAGTCCAACACCCTCGGTTCTAGGCAAAGCCGCGCGTAGCACCGCACACTGATGGCGTAAGCAAATTAGAGTTTGTAGCAGAAGAAATCTCGAAAGTTTTGAAAGTTTTATACTGAATCCCCGGTAGGACCCTGAATACTGATGCCGAAAAATCACCCCCAAACATGTTGGTGGGCGTTTTACTCGTTTACCGTGACTCCAATGAAAAAATGTAAGTTTTTTTATGTTCTCCATTAAATTCTGCATAAAGAACAGTTCTTTGTCTAGGTCTAGGTCTAGGTCTGGTGCTGACAATACTGGCTTTTGTACCATTTTAACTCATTCGCGTGTACTCACACGAGCAGCTCGTAATTGACACGTAGGTTGTCGACGTAGATCGACATGGAGGTCTGGAGCACCGTCGTTGCAGTGGTGTGGAGGTACCGCACATTGCGAGTGATGCTCAAACCGCACGGGAGACGTTTGGCACAGAGCAGCGGTTTCATTTTAAACGCCTGCAATAGAATTTTGCACATCAAATTGTCGGTTAGTATAATTCCCGTTTCATATGGTATTGAGGTTGTTTATAGACCCAAAAATAAGGATTACTCATCCTTATATTTTGGTGTATTCCAAACAAATCACACAGTTGTTACTTCTCCCTAGTTCTGTTTTGTACTGCTAATAATACAACTGTTTTGCTTAGATGTTATCGATGCTGTTATGGTACGACCAAAAATATAGTGCATTTATTGCTTTGGTATTTTAAGTATTTTACAGTTGCTTAACCGCAGACCTACATAGGACCGTGGTAAAAAAAAGTAGGTGAACCGTAACAAATATTTATAGAAAGTTGAATGCGACTACTTATTTATGTACACGATTTTCGAGCGTTCTTGTATTCTTTGATTTTTGCAGTTTGTATTTTTTAAATTAATTGTGAGAGCTAATAGAATTGCCTCCGCCAGCTAGCGGTAGTGTGGACTATAGATTATAATCTCTGTTGATAAAGGTACGGACTAAGAATACAGATAAATATTTATTAGAATCTTACAACTACACATTTTTTAGACGAAGAAGACATGCAAAACAACGCAGAATTTGAAAACGAAATGGAGATGGTAGTGGAACCTAATGACACTTTAGAAGACGAACTACGTCAGGAAATAAAAGAATGGATCCATTTGTCTTCGGATGCTATTGTTTTAAATGATTAGCATTTTTATAAAGAATTTTTTATGTACATGTTTCTTTGTTGTTCGGCGAAAACAGATTGAAAACATACTTATATCCCGCTTGCTAGTGCAGGTAGATAAATTCCTAGGAAGGTCCTGGAATGGTTACGGGTAGTGCTCTTCTCGGCAGGGTATACTTTAAAGTGCGGGTTTGGAGTAATAAATAGTAAGCAAAGTTAAAGACGGGGTCTGTTGTAAAAGCATTTATCGTCGTCTAATCATCTCTATTACCTCGATCGTCCGTCTTTCTTTTGATGTAAATTGCTAACATTCGGCGCAGCAATTAAATTGTTGTCTTGCCTTTCTCGGAGTGTTCTTCTTCCTTCGCGCAGTGTTGGCTCCTCTCCCACTTTCAGGTATTCGATTTTTGTAAGGTTGATATGAAATCTTATTCTTCGATGGACAGTGCTGGTCGATTTCTATTTCCGGTAACTCCTTCTGCTCACGTTTCAATCTTTTTATAGGCTTTCTCTAAGCAGTTATTTGCGGTTCGTTGTTTTTTCGTTATCGTTTCGGTTCGTGTTCTCGTTTAGTACATAGAGGATCGACAAGCGGCTAAGCGTCACCTAGACCCCGAGACGTATACGATACGTATAGTGCGACCTATGATCTATCGAACTGACGACCTTATTTCGGAATCGCCTAGGTAATTTCGATAGTTAGCTGACAAGTGGTTTGTTTCGTTTAAGACTGGACGTACTAACTGCAAAACTAAAATATCAATATCGCCAAAATTCGGTACGTAATTATATTAGGAACCCCTGTTTCAAAAAAGTCGTATAGAATTAAAAGTTGCCCCTTATCAATAGAGTCGGGTATTGTTTTACAGAATTGATTAATTTTGCAAATTTTCGGTCCAGTTCCATCTTATTCCATCAATAATTTCGGTAGATCTTCGGTTCTTAACTTAATACTTAAATTTTAGTTTTATACCTTGGACGTAGGCGGAAACAGTCTGACGAAAACGGCCCTCTTCCTCGCGTTCCTGACCGTTAACACTCTATCGAAGCTTTTCCCGTCGTAAGCGTCGCGAAACACCATGACGCCGGGCGTCACGACGACGCCCCCCAGGTCCATGGACTCTTCCTCGTCACACGAAGGCACCTAAACAATCGTCGGGAAAATGGCGACGCCGCGAGATCTCGCTTACCCTGCCTTGGTGGTCCTACGGGATAACGTAACGGAGGGACATGGGAGGGGGAGGAAAATAACGCCGTAGCTTACCCGGGCATCCCCGTCGAACAGCGTGACGCAGTCCGCCATTGCTATGGGCACTTTCCCGCGTGAAATTGATAATAAATTGGTATATAATAACGGTTAAATTGACGTCTACCCGTCAACTGTCAATATTTTAAAAAACAGGTACCGGGCGAGTCAACAATACGAGTGCTGCGTTATATTTCGGGATTTTCTTAAACTAGTTCTGCTACCTGGCGACTAACGTTTTCATAGAGAAGTTTGACATTTTAAGGTTAGGTTTATTTAACTCTACTCCCATCTATAAAATATCTAATTAACCACCGATCTAGCGTGCGGGAAGCGTCACTTTACCACGTAAGTTTCGTTTCCCATGAATCCGGGCCACTTCGTACATTTCCGGGATTTTACGGCACGGATTTGGGAGCAATCGGACGTTTTCGGAGATATTTCCCACGCTTTGAATTTTGACGTTTGTCAATTCTAACGTTCATGTCAGTGAATGTATTCGTGTTGTTTTGCGAAAATGGACCCAAAAGCTAACGGTCGTAGAAAAAGTATGCAACAAGTGCGGTAAACGGCATTTGACTCACGAATTTATTTGACACGAGCGGAGGGCAGCGGAGCGAGTTTTTAATAAACGAGTGAGTAACTAATATACTATATTAGTTGTCATTAAAGCTATTCCTTTATCGTTTCGATCGGTTCTGTTATTGTTGTCTCTTTTTAACTGTGTACGTTGAACAGAGGGAGATGTCATATAAACAACGAAATAAACACAATTTTAAAATATTATGTTTATTTTACTTTTAAAATTGATCACTAAGTAGTTTATTTAAAGAAAAAGACTGAAATTTTAAGAAAATTCATCCAAGGATAGAGCCTTTGAGAGGACTTTTTAAGATCGTGTAATTAAGAAATAGCAGGTCAAAACATTCAATTTTGTTTTGTTTATACTGATGAGACATGGATATTTGTAAATCGTACAATTGGTCTCGTCCAAATGACGATAACAGGAAAAGTTCTGCGTGTTGAAAATTTCCCAATACAGAATTTGTCCATCGTGATATATTGAGTTTGTCTTGGGAAAGGTTTTTAACCAGGACAGGTTCAGTACCTCGGAGTTTGGAGTGAGAGTGAGAGTTTTATGATCTCCCGATTTGACTAAATTAACAAATTGGTGTAGTAAGACAACTTGTAAGTTGGAGTCAGGACTGACTTCTAGATTATTTTCATGAACGACTTGGATAAAAGTGTCGCATCTGAGCTAGCACGTACCACATATAATATAATATAATATACATAAAGGATATGGCGTGGTACTAATAATTTTGGTAATAGTGGTCGCCTGGTTTCGTACTGGAATACCGTATTTCGAGTTATTTCAAAAGGTGAAGGAATTTATAATAATTAAATTGTTGATCAATATTTTTTAGCCAGAATATTATCAGTAAGATTAACAAATATTTTCGGGATTCAGATTATGTTAGAAATGCTTTTGTTACGTTGCATGTTAATTTTCAAAACAGTTTTCTGCTTAACATATTTTAGAAGATCGTGCTTTTTCTCAGGCAACATTCAAATTTGAAATATTTTTATCAAGTACGCAGTGTTTCGCAAAATGTTACTTCTCTCAATCTTCTTAAATCAAACGCCCCGTATGTTTCGAATAATGCTTTAAAAGACGAATTACCCTTAATTCTAATATTTTTTATGAAATTTTATTTAAAGTACCATTATAATTATATATTATTATACATTATTTATTTGTTCCACATTCGTTTTTTAAAGTGCTATGCGACAACTCAAAAATATAGGGGGTATTTGATTTTGATAAAAATATTTGAATTTTGAATATTGTGTGAGAAAAATATGTTACTCAGAAAAATGTTTTTAAGGGCTATTTATATATGTAATAAAATACAGGATGTTCGTTGTATATAAACGACCAAAATCAAGAGTTTCCTCAGTAGTTAACGCCGCTTTTGCCGGTTGTCTTCTTAGCAATAATGACCATTGCTTTTTTTTTGGAAAATACTGATTTTTTTATAAACTAACCAGAACTACATAACTTACGTGGGTACGTCGCATGACTACCATAAGTGCGATTGTTCTTTTTTTTTACTTTCTCCTGCGGCGGCGGCCATGTTTCCGCGCGGCAGGAAAAAATATCGATCGGCTCCGGTGCCCGGACCCCCTTAGCCGTTAATCATCCTGCGTTCCCGCGTGGTCCTTCGGGAACACTTTTTGGTCCCGGCCCGCGTGATTGATTGTAAACTGACGCCGTGTTCCGCACGACTTTGTCATGCACTTTGAGGTCCCTGAGGGAGACGGAATTTGTCCCTGTCGCTAGGTGCGAATGTATAGTTTGAGATGGGTCGAAAAAGGGCGGCTGCCCAAGTGTAACTGGGACGGGAGATGAACCAGGAGACTGCTCAATAGAAGTAGTAGACCAGCAGTGCATGCAAAGGGATGATAGATGTTGATGAAGATGATGGTGCAAGAAACACCTTATGCGTTAATTCCATTTGGTCTCTCGCTAATCTCTAATCTCTTCTCTATCTGCCAATCATCAATACGCCTCTACTTCGGCCAGAAATATAGTGCTTGTACAACCGACCCCGCGATTAACTTTGCCCATTGTTTATTACTCCAAAACCGTAGCCTCTTATAGAACACCCTGTCGAGCAGAGCCGTACCCGTAACCATTAAAGGACCGCCCAAGGAATTTTTTTACCTACATTAACAAGCGGGATTTAAGTATGTTTTTATTTATTTCTATCATTATTAATATACACAATATTAAGTATAATAATAATAAAGTATCAGCCACTTAAAAAGTCGTCACTATCGCTACTCTTGCGCAATTACGTTTATGCGCTTTCAACTCAGACCAAATCATCTCAATCGGGTTAAATATACAACGATACGGTGGTAATCACCCGATTTCATGTCCGTTTTGTTGTGGTATCGAATCAGTTTTGTAGTCTTCATTAAAATGTTTTATTTTTAATAATTCGAGAAATTGTTTTTTCGTGTAGCTTTCTTCAAAATATAAATCATTTTTGTACAGATATTTTCAAATTTTTCTTTATTTAAAGAAGTATTTTGAATTTTTCTAATTTGGGCTTAATGATACGAGGCATTATAAAAATACAGTAACAGTATTTGGCGATAGTTTTGGCAACAGTTTATTTTCAAACCAGTCCTCAAATATTTCCGCGATCATGTTTGCAGCATGAAGAATTATTATTCATTTTCCATGCGGCACGTAAGGAAGGAAGCATCACAGTCAAATAAATCCACGAACTAAACGCTCCTACTTATTCGAAAATACCCCGCAGCATCAATGCTTAATCAAATTTAAAACGATCCATTTACGTTTCAAAAAAAAAGAAAAAAAAAATCAAGTTTCGAGAAATATTCGTTACGGTCCATCTTAATATCAATTACTGTGTATCTCAAAAACTGGAGATAATAATAATTATAATAATAATATATACAAATAAAAATACAAATTCTAAACATAAAATATAAAATTTCAGAAAAACGGAAACCAAAAGCCAAACACACAGAAATCAGAATTTTGACAATACATGATATCTTAAAAGTCTTTTAAATTCATTAAGAGTATCACCGTTTTTAATATCATGGAAATTGTTAAAATGGTTTAGGCCTTTATGTAATATAGAGTTTTGTACATGACTAGAATAACATACTCTTAACATAAAATTACCACAATTCCTTGTATTGTAAGAATGAATGTCTGTGAAATAGGTAACTTTTTCACAAACATAATTGGGAATCGGGAATTTTAAAAATAATTACATAGACATGAAACATTAATTTTTGTTTTACAGACAAGAAATTAAGAACACTCAACATGCTTTGAATTGGCGTATATCTGTTACACTTTAGTATATTTCTCACGGCTCTATTTTGAACAATCTGCAATTGCTCCAATTTATAATTAGGGAAAATTGAACAAAAGTGTGGAACAAAATTCTAAATGGGGAGCAACTAGGCTGTTATACAATAAGATTTTGGTGTCAATTGACTAATTTTTCCCTATTCTAGATATAAAATTAATCTTTTTAGAGAATTTGAGTCAAATATAACACCCATTAATATAAATTAATTAATATAAATGTTTACATCGAAATTTAGTGTACTCAATTTATGTCGCTTACCAAAAATACAAAATTTTGACTTGCCCGTGTTTATACAAAGGTTATTATTGCACAGCCATTCAAAAGCTTTCTTCAGATCGGCATTCATTTTTCTTTGCATTTCATCCACATTTTCACCCACAATAAAAATCATAGTGTCATCCGCAAATAATACCGCTTTAGTATCATCTAAATCATTTACAATATCGTTTATGTACATAAGAAACAACAATGGTCCCGAAACTGTCCCCTGAGGAGCACCATGTTCTACAGTTATGCAATTTTTATATTTCGTTTTTTGTACCCTATCTGTTAAATACGAACAAAGCCATTTATACGCTGTTCCCTTAATACGCATTTTGTACAATTTTCTTAACAATCTAGTTCTACTTATTGTTTCGAAAGCACGCTTAAAATCCGAAAATACAGCCAACACAAATTTACCATCCTCCAAGGCCCTCAAGAAATCATCACAGACAGTAACGACGACAGATTCGCATGAGTGTTTGGAGCGAAAGCGAAAAACATTTCTGGAATCGGCAAATTTACGACCTGGATGATGCAATGTTTGGTCTCATTTTCTATCAAATTGGATATTTTAATAATCTAAGTTATTAGTTTCTAATTCACTAATATAGGCACCTCTGAATAAGCCAAGAGGATGATTCAAAGAAACTTCCATAGGCTACTGTAATACAATTTACAAGTCTTCTGTATTCCTTTTTCGTTAGTGGTTGAGAATCTTTTTACTCAACTCCCTATTCTTGAAACCCCCGACATTATTTATTTTCTTATGACAGTTATCACCAGCCAGGTTAGGTGTTTGAAGACATGCATATTTATATCCATGAGAATTATAGAACATATAGAATAAATGTAATTTGTTAATAAACATTTTTTTGTACTACCTTCTACTTAATCAGACAATCAGACATTCTTTTATATCAGTAATGAAAGATCATTGAAAGGTGCTGACGACACCATTGAAAAAAATGGAAACAAACAGCATTGAAGTTTTTTTTTTAAATGGCTTTTATAAGTTTGACGGGATCGCGATACTCAACAATAAGCAATTCTCAGTTGCAATTGCTAGTATGATTGCTGTATCAGAACAACAGTTTACTTGGTGCTTCGTTTTTTTTTAATCCATGTAAAATTCGATTTTTTCTTCAAGCTTGGAAGATACCGATATGTAAATATTTTGTTCATTTGCAGGCTAAAAGTGGATCGATTTAAAATGGGAGTCGGTAACCTTTCGGACCTGGCGCCCTTGCGAGGGCCCTTGGCCGAAGCCTGGTGATCCGACACCTTCCAGTGGCGTACGTGCAAGTTGCGGCCGAAGACAAGCCAAACCAATATTTTCTTAAATTATTATTACAGCTAATTAAATAACGAAAAAATACAAATGCATTTTTTTTTCAAAGATAGTGCATATTTACAAAATGCATGTTAAATTTACTTTATAAATGTATTTGTATGTTCGTAAATATAAAATCACTCCGTACCAGTTTCAATTTAAAATGAAATTAAACAAAATACAATGTAATACCGCTTTTGAAAAAATCTGTGGACTTCAAAACTACGACAAATTTCCATTGAGTTTTCTTTTCAGGAACTGGGTGAGAGTCTAACCTTAACCTAAACTTAAGATACGAACGTGCGTTGTCATATAATTTCTGTTCTGTTATTTTATCTATAAAAAAGGTGAAACGTTTGATCCTAATAATTATCGACCCGTATTAATTATCCCAATAGTTTACAAAATTTTAGAAAAAAAAATTGTATTCTCTTGGCTTGGATTTAGAAAGGGGCGTTCCACCACTATTACGTATAGTCGTTGGCATAGTTCAAGACTTTATTAGTCAATCAATTTGTGGAAAAACTTATCTCCCTAATAGACAGCAACCAGTTGTTTTGCAGTAATAAAATGTCAAGTTTACGAAATATTATGCACGAAGTTCCACAGGGTTCCATTATGGGTCCATTATTGTTTTTATTTTATATTAATGATCTCTTTGACCACAATGGGCCAAAGAACATGCCAATAGATATGTGGTTTGCAGCGAATCGCCTAAAATTGAATGTGGATAAAACTCACTCGTTAGCGTTTTCAACAAATGTAAATATTTTGGAAGGAGGATCTGCGAAGTTATTGGGTGTTGTCTTGGATGACAGGCTCTCTTGGAAGGATCATACTGCTTATTTAGTAATCGGAAGTCATATGCTGTTATACTGTGGGAAAACTCAGTAGATTCCATAAAAAAAAAATTGCATGCAAAAAAGAGCGATCAAAATTAAATCCAAAGCAATCCATTGTCAAGCGCTGTTTCAGAATTTTGGGGTTATGCCACTGCCATCTATATAAATGTACTACACGGTATTAGAAATTCATAACTCAAAAAATACGTTTTCATTTCACTCAGATAATTCTTAAATTTGCTTCGAACTAGGAAGTTGGAATACACTAAAAGCATAAAAAAAACTGGAAATAAAATCTTTTCTTTTGATAGATATTACCTGGTTACCCATTATTGATAGTGGCTACTGTTTGATAGTATTCGGTATCTTCCTATTTGTTCATTTTTAGTCCTGCTTGTTTTTATATGTTATGTGTTACGTTGTTATTCTTGTAGACTTTATCCATGTATGTGTATATGTATAAATAAAAATATTTATTTATGATGGTTTGCAAATCCGCAAATATATATATATATATATATATATATATATATATATATATATATATATATATATATATATATATATATATATATATATATATATATATATATATATATATATATATATATATATATATATATATATATATATATATATATATATATATTCTCACGTATTGATTCACGGATGGAAAAATGTGATGACACTATATTCCGGGATGTCATCCGTTCGCTCGTTGAACTCCGACTGGAATCCTGCATCCGACTGGAATCCTGCAAATCTTGCATCCGACTGGAATCCTGCAGACGTTTCGCCAAAATCTCACTTGGCATCTTCAATGCTCGCGCTCCGTGTTCGAAGTGTTTTCGGAGCGCGAGCATTGAAGATGCCAAGTGAGATTTTGGCGAAACGTCTGCAGGATTCCAGTCGGATGCAAGATTTGCAGGATTCCAGTCGGATGCAGGATTCCAGTCGGAGTTCAACGAGCGAACGGATGACATCCCGGAATATAGTGTCATCATATATATATATATATATATATATATATATATATATATATATATATATATATATATATATATATATATATATATATATATATATATATATATATATATATATATATATATATATATATATATATATATATATATATATATATATATATATATATATATATATATATATATATATATATATATATATATATATATATATAATAATTAATAAATGTATTTAAAAAAAATGAAAATGACGCTGGGAGATTAGAAATTTGTATTGGTTATTAGAGATTTTCAAACGAAATTAACTGTCAATACCCTAAAAATCAAGACATGCATATACCGGGTGGCCCAAGAAAGTGGGGACACTATAACTTTTAAACGGCTGGAGATAGCCATTTGAAATTTCGAAGGGATAATATAGGATGAATTTCCAATTTTTTGACAATATGTAGCCAATGGTTACACTTCCGATTTCAGTGGAAACAACATTAAATTTCGAATTTTAAATGGCACAAGCTATATTATTTGCATTTTTGGATTCATTAGATCGTTATACATAGGATACGACGGCTTTTCCGCATCGCTTAGAAAAGTGGCATTAGAATTAGACATCCCAAAAGAATCTGTGACTAGAATTTTAAAGAAAACACAGCTGTCATTCTTTATGTAGCTGACTTTGCAAGAAAACTTCGATATTGTAATTGGCTGTTAGATAAACATGACCAGAATAATAATTTTTTTTAACTCAATTTTGTTCACTGATGAGCTACGATTCTCAAATAATGCTATGCTTAATCGGCAGAACAACAAATACGGGTCTTTAAATAACCAAAAAATTTTCGTCTCGGACAATTTTAAGAACGGTTCGGAAGCAATGTTTGGCCTGGAGTGATAGGAAGGCGAATTATTGCATTTGTTTTTTTTTTATGATGCCTTAACTGGTGTACTATACTTCCAATTCCTAAGAAATGAAATACATATTACGCGATGTTTATGGGGATAGAGTAATCTCAACACACGGTCCAGTCAATTGGCCCCACGGTCACCGGACTTGACACCGTTAGATTTTTTTGTTTGGGGATACATGAAACACCGTGTTTATGTACAAGAATTACAGCAGAGTATATGGGCTGCGTTTGACAGTATAACTCAAGAAATGTTAGGAAAGGTTAGAGCGAATGTCTTATACAAGAAGGAGGACATTTTGCAAACATTCTATGAAAGTTTCATCTTAAAATAAATTGGTTTTTTTTTATTTAGAAAAATTTTCTGTCAAAATGTTGCAAGAAAGTACCGGTTCGAAACATGTTTTGTTCCCACTAGGGTGCTATTTGAAAAAACTATGTTATCCTAAAAAATTAATAGTTGGTTACATTAAACGCTATTTGCCATTACAATTTTTCCCATGACTAGGTGACCCGGTAAATAGTATTTATTTTGGCCACAGCCTGCTGGACACAATTTTCAAAAATTAAATAAAATTAAAAAAGTAACAAAAAAATGAGAAAAACCGCCTCTCAATCCAAAAATGCAAAAAATGTAGATTATCCTTTTAGTATTCGACAGTTACTGTCGTGTCAAAAAAATTGAACATTCAGACTATATTAACTCTTAACAATTTCAAATCGCTATCTCAAGCCGTTTAAAAGTTGTATAGTTTTGTTGTGTCACTCGGTATATTTTTAAATTTTAGTGTTTGAACTTTTCTACAGCACATGCATTTTTAAAGAAAAGAAGAAGTGTTTTTTTTAGAACGGAATGGACGTGGTTTTATCCTTTCGAAATCCGAATCGACAAGTCCTTGGATTACGCGAAAAAAAAGGGCGCTTTTCGCGCGACTGTGGCCGCCGCCGTTCGCCGCCTTATAAATGAAGCCGATAGTTCGAGCATTGAGATCGTCTAGCGAACGCGGAAACGGCAGTCAAGCGTCCGATTCTTCTCCCGCTTCGAGATCTTACACGAGCCGCGAGTTTCGTACGAGACCTACGAAACAGTCTCGTCTCAAACAACACCTGCGGTACGGTGACCGGTGAAAGTGAAATTTTCGGTGGTCTACGTGTCCGAGTTCAGAGAAAGCGCGTCGACAATGGACGTCCGCGACTTCAGGGAGTTCGGCAAAGCGGCCGTCGATTACATCGCGGACTATTACGAAACGATAAGGGACAGGTAAGTGTCTAAAAGCCCATAGGCGTAATCTCCCACGATTCCCTGGAAAAATGCGGGAGACAATGTGAAGCGATTCGCTGACGATGGGCGATAGATTAAATTTGGATGGGTAGATGGTTATACTTCGACCAGAAATATAGTTAGCAGTTAGCAGTTACTTAGTGATTTATGACAGCTGTTTCGGCAACACTGTACCTTTATCAAATACAAAATATGGCAACATTCCAACACCTATATATATAAACGGGTAGTAATAATTTTTTTTGTTAATTTCTATTGCTTTCAACGAATTTAGTTTTTTGCTTTCTGATTGATTACTTAAAATATCAAAATTATCTTCAAAGCTTTGCATTTCTGAATTTAAATGAATGGCATAGTTAGAATCCGAAGTTTTAGTTTTGTACACCCTTTTATGTTCGTTAAAATTCATTTCTTAAATGTTCTACCTGTTTGTCCGATATAAATTTTGGGACGTGATGCACGTTTCAACTTTCGACCGGATTTTTGAGTTTTTGTGTTTTCAGTTTTAAAACCAATATTAATATTCGAAATTTTCTTCTTAGTTTCTCCTATGTATTTTATTGTTTTATAAATTTTGCTTTCGTTGTTTAATATGGGATGGACAGAGTTATGTTATAATCTTATATATCAAAGAGGGGCGTTACCATTGTTAAAAGGTATTTCTTTTATAATATTTAATTCTTTTTCAAAATTTTGTGTGGGGCGGTAAAAGCATAAAAGGCAGCCATTTTGTGTGAGGGTTTGTGGTAAATGGAAAAATCTAATTTCTTCTGTAGTTTGGTAATAGTTAAGTGCAGAAAGTTTAGAGAGTCATCTAGTTCCATCTCAATGGTAAATTTTATACGGTTATGTATGAAGTTAATATGATTCAAAAAGGACTGCAGTTGTCTTTCGGTTCCAGTGAAACAAGCAAAGACACCACCTACTTATCTATACCACTAGAGAAATCCTTTACTCAGAGGATGTTTATGTATGATATTTTCTAAATTGTCCACGAAAATTTCTGCAAGTGGTGGACTAAGTGGGTTTCCCATGATTAATCCTTCTTTAGCAATATAAAATTGACAATTAAATTGTTTTATGATAGAGTTAACTTCTCTCTGCGTGAGAATATTATCTATTATGTTTATTACGTCAATTGGTGGAACGCTAGGAAATACGAGGTTCGAGCCAAAATTTCCCGGCCTGTCATAGATAGAGATAGATAGTATCTAGTATAAAACTTTGTCTTCTTTTAAACATGTATGTTAGTAGACGAGAAAATTGTTTTTAGACCATAGATTAGATAGATATAGATAAATAATTAGAAATGCTAAATCATTGTCAAACTTCCATCGTCTTTTTTTTTGAAAATCAAAAACTGAAAACCAGAGGATAGGAGGTTAGTTTTGGTTAGTTTGGTTTTTGGTGGTTTATTGACTACAAAAAAAAAGTGAACACATAAATTGTGCATAATCCATTATAATTAAAGACGACTTTTCGAGTTTCAGCAGCAGTTTTTCAAAAATTCGACGCCGTTTTGTAGTGGAAAATACTGTAATTATATTGTAATTAGTGCTATCTCTGGCAGGTAAATAGGAGACTTTTGCCTTTCTTGATATATGAGTGGAAGCAGATGAAAATGTGAGGCACCTTCTCTGTTGGTTTTACGCCATCGCACAGATCGTACCGGCTATATCTACGTCGCTTCGTTTCAGACCGGTCGTGTCGTGCGTCAAACCCGGATACCTAGATGACGTTATACCGAAAGAGCCGCCCTTCGCAGGGGAATCGTGGCGAGACCTCCTGCAGGACGTCGACAGGATCATCGTGCCAGGACTCACGCACTGGCAGTCACCCAATTTCCACGGCTATTACCCCACCGGGCAATCCTTCCCCGCCGTAGTGGGGGAACTCATGAGCGCCGGTTTCGGTGTGGTCGGTCTCAGTTGGGTACGACCATACCATTTTTTGTTTTTTGAAAAAAATTCGCCTTTCAAAATTCGACACAAAGATCTCAAAAAAAATGCTGGTTTTTCGTATAGACGTTTGTCTTAACTTGCTCCGCTTTAAAAAAATCGGGTTCTAATTAATGACACAAACACCTTTTTTAAGTCTCGATAATTTAAATTTAATCTGCAGTGTAAAGACAAAGGAAAATCCGCATTTTCCTTCAAGTTCTTCATAATAGGATTTCAAAAAAAAAACATATCGATGCATGTCTGTAGGTTTCATTATTAATGTACCAGGTGATCATTTTCTTTAACGTGTTTGGAAAAAAAACCTCAAATTCCAAAGTTTTAAAAATAGTAAGCTATTTACTAGACATATGAAATATATTTAAAGGAACGCCCTGTATATTACTCATGGGAAACTACGTATAATTGCATAATTAACCTCCGTTTGTCATTGCAAAAAAAACTTTCATCGAATCTCAACAAACATCAACCAACTTTTTATTTTTTATTAAGCGTATAATATACAGAGTGCCTCATTAAAAAATATGTAACTTTTATCTATTAAATAAATCAGTTAAAAAGGGCCGAACACATTATAAACGATCACCCGGAACCGCGAGTTGAAAACATTTAAAAAAAAACGGGATTTCTTCAATTTCATTCAAACTGCTTTTGGCGTCGATTGTACGGCAAGAGATATAGAAACAATTTACAGAAAAAAAAAACTAACAGAATTATTCAAGTAACTATCCTATATAACAGAAATTCACTTCAATACTGGCAACAAAAAACGCAAACATATTGAGGGTATGTTGTTGTGAACAGCTGATTTTACTTCTGATTGGCCTAAACTTAACTCAACTGGAAAAATCAGTGGCGTACCACAATTTCATCTATAAATACCAACGAGATCGCCCGCTTAGACGCCATTGGACGAATAATCAAATTTTAATTGAACAGAATTAAGCGCCTTCAAACATTCCAAAAGCTTATAAAAACGCCTACCGTTTTTTTAAACATGTGAAAAAAATCTTTCTTGTGGCGATTAATATAGACCTGACAATATAAAACGAACGCGTGCCGCATTCGTAATTAGCCGTTGCCAGGTGCGCCAATTAATTATATCTCGCGTCTTTCTTGACGACCCGGTGGAAGCTTTACGGTTGTTTTGAAACTGTTTAAGGTTTCCACCACATAATCAGTCGAAATTTTCTACTATTACGGCGTTTTAGAACAATCTAGAAAGTAAATTGGTACTAGTTCGCGGCGCGTAGCGTTCAGCTTCCATGGAAACGAATGTCGCGCACGCGCGTGGTCGCTACGGCACGGCGTGTCCACGTCATTGACGCGTAGATAGAAAACGTAAATACGCACGGCCACGTTATAGATACTGGCGTTAAACCAATAACTTTAACTAATATCTCAATATTTTCTGTGAAAATGAGTAAAGTGTGTGGAAATCGCTATTTACGAAGAAATATAGAAAATACGATTACAAAAACCAATGCCGTATGCGGCGCACCAATTTTCACGGCATTATGGCCACTATATGCGTCAATGCGTAAAACGGTTCTTGACAATACGGTGGATGCTTTGCTGTTATTTTTGCATAATTTATCATCAATCGGAATTGGCAACCGTCAAGTCGTTTCAGAACTAACTGGAAATGAAATCGGTACTATTTCGTGGTGCGCAGGGTTCGGTATCCATGGAAACCAACGTTGCGCGTGCGCGCCTCGCAAATTTCACAGAGGCAGTTACTTTATGTATGGCAACAAATTTTTCTTCTTCTTCCGTGTGAGAGACGGTAAAACATAGTTGTTGTTGAGCATCGTATATTTTGAAATTCAAATGATATAGTTTCACCAAAAGGTGTGGACAGATTAGTCATAATATAATTTAATTTAATTTAATTTTTATAACGCGTTGACATTAAACTGAAAAACGATACCCTTTACTACGATACTCTAGGATTTAATTTTCAAAAACTTTAAAGATCTCTTCCGTAACATTGCACAAGTATACTCTAAAATAGAGACGAATCTCGCTCGTCAATAACTACTCCATTTCGGAAAACTGACTGACGTAATACAATACTAGCTTACATGTGCTTCCCGACAAACATAATACCTACAGAAAATATTCAGGGCGGGTCAAAAAGTAAACGTCGAAACCAAGTTCCAACCAACCAATTCCTCTTCAAATTTGACGCTTAGTAGCAATAAAAAATTATAACGGAGGAATGTTGGTTGAAATTAAAGTAGAGAGTTTTCCCTGAAGGTGCTAGACGGTGATCCGGTGGAAATACTAAGAGATTGTCGAACTTCCACATTGATGCATCTGCCAGAAATGTTGTGAAAAAAAATCGACAGTCTCATGGCATTTCCAAAGTGGACCGAAAGCTCTATTTATGCACTATCTGCAGATCGCCAGTCCCGCCATGACCGAGCTCGAAGTGGTGATGATGAACTGGCTCGGACGCATGCTGGGCCTCCCCGAGGAGTTTTTAAACTGCTCCGAGGGACCGGGAGGGGGGGTAATACAGGTAACAACACGCGAGGCGTACCGACGTTCCCGGTCACACATTCGTTCCTCTTGCAGGGCTCCGCTAGCGAGGCCACCTTCGTCGCCCTGCTCACCGCCAAAGAGAAAAAGGTGAAGGACCTGAGGGCGTCGCATCCTGAACTATCCGAGGCTGAGATCAAGGGGAAACTGGTCGCGTACTCGTCCGACCAATCGAACTCGTCGGTGGAAAAGGCCGGATTGCTGGGTAATAATAATTACAATCTTTATTTTTTAATAAATTCACAGAAGGAGCTGCTTTGGCTAAAACCAAATAAGATTTAAACAGGGGTGAGGGCCATTTCGTAAAATTTATTGAATAAAATGTGCGCCACTGTCTTTAATCTGATTTCGATGCCTTTATGATGATGAGATAGAGCTACTAAAACTGCAACTTTTTCGTCTCTTGAGTTTTTCTCATATCTTGCTTCTTTTACGAGATAAAAAATACTCTATAACATTTATTGATTGAAATGTACGCCGCCGACTTCAGATTAATTTGGATACTTCCATGAGGCGGAGCGGCTAAAACTGCAACTTTCATAAAAAAGATAAAAAAAAACCTCGTGAGATTTATTGATTAAAATGTACGCCACTGAGTTCAATTTAATTCGATACTTCCCTGAGGCGGATCGGCTAAAACTATTACTTTTTTATACCTTGAATTTTTGTCATATCTTGCTTCGTTGATGAATTAAAAAAGTTTATAAAATTTATTGATTAAAATGTACGCCACTGGCTTTAATTTATATTCGAAACTTTTTCAACATGGAACTACTAAAACTACGGCTCTTAGTTTTTTCTCATGTATTGCTTCGTTTATACAATTTATTGAATAAAATGTACGCCACTGACTTTAATTTAATTTCTACGATTTTCCTAGAAGAAGCGATCAAAACTGTTACTTTTTCGTCCCATGGATTTTGTTTCTTTGGAATTTTTAAAAAAATTATTAATTAGAATGTACGTCATTGACTTTCATTTAATTTCGGTACCCCCTTGAGACGGAACGACTAAAACTACTACTTTTTTATAACTTGAATTTTTCTCATATCTTACTTCGTTTACGAGAGAAAAAACTTTATGAAATTTGATAAGAATGTAGGAATAAAATGTACGCCACTGATGAAATGTCACACAATGTTTATAAACGATTTTATAATATACACAATACAACTATGGACGAACAATTGCATTAGTTTATTAAAATATTTACATTTCTAAGATATATTAGACCAATCCCAAAGTTGTGGTATACAATAGTGGGATAACAAAAACCAAAGTTTGTTAATGAAACAGCTGCAGAAAAGGTTGGTTAAAATCGCGTCGCGTCATATTAAATGCAGAAATATAGAATTCGTAAGCAAAGGAACCGGCAATGCTGGATGCTAGTCAAGCACTTACAGCTCTTTACCGAAACTCTGTGTTTTTCTCTGCAAAAATTTCTTTAGATATTCTTTTGGTCAGTTGCCGATCGTTTTAGCTAAAGCTGACGCATTATCTTTGCTTCATTATTCCGAGCGTGTTATTTATTTATTATCGCATGTTATTATTGTTTAATTAATTTTGAGACCGGCCGTTCGCAATCCTTTCTCATTGTTCGCGGATTTATGTCCCGAGCGTTCCGAATCGTAAACAATCATAAACGCAGGCAAAAAACAAAACGATTCCAGACACATTTTACTTTTGACTTACGTTCGGACGAGGATTTTTTTCAAGGTCAAGGTCGAGATTTTTTCCACGACCGTAATTACTTCATCGATTGTAATTGAATTATACTTTTCTATGGTAAAAAATTGCAACACCTGGCGACACCAGATGTCTGCTAAATAACCGTAATGGTCGCGCCTTTCGCGCGAAGTCAAAAATCGATTGCGATTTCAAAGCAACGGATCAAAAATATTCCGTATCGATTCGCATTTACCCATCTCTAACATGGCAATATAACCTCGTTGATGGCTTTACTCGAAGACGTTTCTATGGAAACCGTAAACTACCAAAGATTTCGCCATATTTTGCGATCAAATCGAAGCAGCATGTGCGGGTTTTATTCGTCGATGCAGTATTTAACCAAGAAACGTTATCGTGCCTCCTTTTCCATAACGAATAAGCGGATGATGAGGGTTGTAGTTTGGCGTTTAAGGTTACCGAACGGCTGAACGAGGCAAATTTGTGGACAAATTGCTGTAAACATCGTCACATTTTCATCTCGTTTTAGGCTCGATGGTCATGAGATTGCTGCCTAGCAACGAGCACGGCCAACTGAGCTGCGACACGCTGCAAGAGGCCGTCGACAAAGACAGAGAAGCCGGCCTGATACCATGCTACGTCGTTGCTAATTTGGGTAACCTTTTACGTATTATACGCATTATAAACGGTGGATCGCTGTTGCTCGAACGTAAAATGTTTCGGAAACGTTTGAGCATACAAAATATACAAAGTTATTTCATAAAAAAATAACTATTTGGCACTTGTCCCGTTGGTCCAAAAAGTACCGAGTAACATTGCCCAGCTAGTAACAAACTGTGTAAACTTCTACCCGGAAACGTATCTAAGTATCGTGGTAGCTGTATATTTCCTGTATTGAAAATCAAAATTAAGTTTGCCCTTTTAAGTTCCATTCCTAAGTATACTAAGTGTTTTCAAATTGTTTGTCAATAATTAAGAGTGCGATTTTGGGTCCATTTTAAAAAGAAAACTTCATATGAATATACCTAAGTCTTAAACGTCCTCACTTTTGGCATACTCTACTATGTACTTAGTATACCACAATTTTTTTAAATACACCAGCGGCGGGCGTACGAAATTTCACCCGTCTAGTTTGACATTGATGGTACGCCACTGATTTCTCTTAAGATAAAACAAACAATTACAATCTCCAATCATTTCTAGAAAAATTTAATTTTAGATTTTTTTTTTAATCCGATCGATTTTCGCTTAACAAAATAAGAACCTCTTCTCTGCGTAGTCATAACTCATTATTATCAAAATCATTATTATTTCTCTTTTTTTTATTGTTTTAGAAAGTCTTTTATTTTTTCTGTTCTCTGTTATTCATAACGGACGTTTGGGAAGTTTTTCAAGTCGGATAACTTTCGAACTGTTTGACAATTATTGCCAAAGATTTTCTGCGAAAAATTGTAATTTTCAATTATTTCCCACAATTGGGACAACCTGTATATTTTTGACTAAACTATATTTTTTTGGTTATTTCCGATTCGAGAAATTTTTCGATCGGACGTATCGTTTTCGAGAAAATCATTTTTGTATCAGTTCCGAAAAAATAATTTGGATGGGGATGGAACTCGTAACTTCCTGTCAATTTTTAACTGGATAGCCCGAAATTTACGACACTTGCTTCAGTTTGTAGCGATTTTTTAAGCGAATATCATTAGCGGCCGGACAAAATGGCCACCGACGTCTGATCGGCTCGATGTTGTGCAGACGGCCACGTGTCGCCCGGTATTAGAACGGGGGAAAATTCGAAGCCCGCACTTGAGCGTTCAAACACTTCGCGACCGTGCGCGACATAGAAAAAATAAAAATGGCGTTTTTTTGCGAAACACAGGTACTACCCCGACGTGTGCATTCGACAGTCTCGACGAACTCGGCCCGATCTGTCAGAGAGAGAAGATGTGGTTGCACATAGACGCCGCGTACGCGGGTACCGCGTTCGTGTGCCCCGAATATAGGCACCACATGCGCGGCATCGAAATGGCCGACTCGTTCAACTTCAACCCCCACAAATGGATGCTGGTCAATTTCGATTGTTCGGCGATGTGGGTCCGAGACGCGAAATACCTCGTCGAAGCGTTCAACGTCGAACGGATTTACCTGAAGGACCATCACAAGGGTCTCGCCCCCGAATACAGACACTGGCAGATATCCCTGGGTCGTAGGTTCAGGGCTCTGAAGATTTGGTTCGTGCTCCGGATTTACGGAGTAGAGGGAATCAGGAAACACGTCAGAGATCAGATCGGGCTCGCCGAATACTTCGCCGAACTCGTCGCTAGCGACGAACGCTTCGAGGTGTGTTCGTCGAACATGGGCCTCGTTTGTTTCAGGTAAATTCTGGTGGGCGTAACGGCCATTTTAAACTTGAAGGGTAACTTTTCACTGAAATTCTTCTAGTAAATGTAACAAGAAATCGAGTTTTTAAAAGCCGAGCTTTATTCGAATAATTTTCGTTTAATACTTTTTGACCTGTCAGTCAAAATTAAGTGTAAGAGTTTTTATTAAATAAAAATGTTGTCAAATAATGCCTAAATAGGCTAGTTAAGACTGTACCTTGGTATCTAACTCCTAACCTAATAAAATACAGTAGTGTGAAAATTGAGTTTCCCAGCTGTTTGAAGCCGCGCATGCGTGGACATTAGAACCGTTTCAATTTCTCCACAAGCCCAAACATGTGAGGTCTGGGTAACGGGGAATGTTCTCACAGGTTTCTTTTGTTTTATTAATTTTAAGGGCTCACTTATGTGCGCAACAAGCGCAAATTACGCAGCATCTATAATAAATACAATTTTAATACAAACTTTGTTGACAAGTTGATTTTAGGCATTTGTTTTGTTACTGGTGTTTATTTTTATTTTATTTTGTTTTACAAACTAATAGTTTTGTTATTTTAAAATTATAAAACTACGAAATTTTACGAACGGATCTTGAAAAAGAAACTAGTAAAACTAGAAATAAGATAAGAAATAATTTTCAGTCGTTTGTTGTTAGTCCCATCCGCTTGGCCACGTGACTCGTATAGGCAGCTAAAACTTTTCTATCCAAGGGTTTCGCATATTTTTCGTGGTACGTCTTAAACAAATCAATTAACCAATATACCGGTCAATATTTCCATGGAACCACGCAATTTTTAAGTTTTTAGTTTTGGTTACTCTGTCACCAATAAGAAAAGTCATTTTTCATGTCACACTCCCGAAATTTCAAAAAAAAACTCGACCGTTTTCAGAAATAGCCGGATGATCTCAGGACGAATCGTGCTTAATTTACATGTAACTGCAGCGGAATTGAACCCAAATCCTTCAACAATTGCGTTGTAAATAAATTGGCAGTTAGTCTGGTGTCGCCGGAGTGAAAAAAGATTAATCTGTGATTGTGAGGTTATGTCGACTTTGTTTTTGCGGCAAATGTTTTGTGAGAGCGCTCTAAAGATATAGAGAACCAAGTATGCGAATTCTATCGGATGCCAATACGAGCAAAAAATCCGTACTCTAAAATTCCCAATGTATCGTGTATACGCGTATAGCGCAGGTTTTTTGTGTTTTTAGATTGAAAGGCGACGATAGCCTATCGGTGGCGTTGCTCAACGGGATTTCGGCCCGGAAAAACCTGTTCCTCACCCCGGGACACTTGCGGGGCAAGTTCGCCATCAGGTACGCGGTGTGCAGCAGGCTGACCGATAGGGCGGACGTTAATTACTCGTGGAAGGAAATCACGAGCGTGCTCGACGACATTTCTTCGAACAAGTCCGCAGCCAATAAACGAAACATCGCGACGATCAATATGCCTGACAACGTCAATGCGAATACTGAAAAATCCAAATAGGTCAGAACGGATAGTATTGTGTTGCATCCTTATGATATAATTATGTTTAAGTTTTGATATATTTTGGACTGTATCAATAATTGGCTATTAATAAAAGTTAATATATATAAAAGTCTGAACTGAGGAATTTATTGATGAACCACTTCACTACGCGACTTTTCTTTTCAATAACCAACGACTGCCAGAAAAATAACATTTCAAGCTTGGGCTTTATTATTATTACAACAGACCCAAAATAAAATCCATAAAACGAGTTACATCCACAAAGTTTGTTCTTCAATGCTCCTGATGACCTTGGCTATAGAAGTAAAGTAGAAGAATGTTATAAGCTACGCAATTCATTCCATTTGGTAATGGGCGAATGCTCATAGTGATTTTACCCTGCTATATGTGAACGTGAGAGGAAGGAAACAGTCTGTGGTCTTGATTTCGTTTGTTTCGGTCTGAATATAGCGGTATCAATGTAAAGGAGATTAGTTAGTGGCGTTTTGAAGGTCGCTATATTATGTTGCCATTGAACTATACCAATTTGAAATTAATTTATGAAAACAGACATGGTCTTTGTCATCTGTTGTGTGAATAACTTGTTCTGTCACAATTTAATCATTGCAGTGCTCTATACGGGCTATGTTTGGTTGGTGCCAGTCATTGTCGTGTTTAGAGCTCGTGCCTGACGCTAATTTATACCTTGCTGCGACGGGTAATTGAAACAACAAAAACTCGTCTATCTTTATTCAAAACAATACTTTTAACATAACAATACATAATGTGAAACTGACTTGTAATAACCCGTCATCGTAAAAAAATATTCAAAAGATTATATTCCTATTTGCATTAACTCAGGTTAATAGTTGCTACCATCCCAATAATAATAATCTCTTGAAATTTATGTGCCCTCCCACTCTGTTTTTTTCCTTACTTAAGAAACTAACCGATTAATATTAATTACTTTTTAACGCAAAATTAATTATTTAAATATTTCAAAATATAAAATTCCGTTTAACTTGAGGCCTGGACAGTGTCTATATTTTCTAAATAGCTGTCCTTACAAAGCCTATTAACCATTATTTCAAGCATGTTTATTTAGTTACTTAATTATATGAAATGTTGATGGTCGTATCAAAAAGTTACCACGACGGATATCGGTAATGGGCGAGTGTCCCTAGTAAAATTGTCCAACTTTGTCTTAATTGTGAAGAAGATGAACAATCTATGGTAGTACGATTGCTCAGCATATTAATTTGAATGGGAGGAAATTGAAAAATTATTGAGTAGTTTTGAAAAAATTGGTAAAACTCAGGTAAGCCAAAAAAGGGATCCTAAATAACAGTTTTTTTTTTTATTTCAGTTAAGCACTGAACAAGTCAACAGAAGCCAGAAGCTTTGTAACTAGTGTTACAGTACGCTATGGGAGTTTATAAAATTAAACGCAAACTTATTACGACGATGAAGATTTTCATTGCCATAAAGCTCCCTCGCTTTTAAAAATATATTCCCGAAGCTGTTTCAGAAATTTTCGTATTTTTCGCATTAATTTTTGTTTGTTGTCATAAACATGACCTACTATTGAAAGTAACAATTTATTTTAGAAAATTATCGTTTATTTCCGATGAAAGCAGCATAGCATTGAAAAGGTAAAAAAAGAGGAATTCTATAAATATTCACTGAAGAAAACAGTGGACACAGTGGCTTCTGTACAACTTGTCACTTCAATAACACAGGGGTGTTTTTCATGGTCCTTTTTATTTTATCAATAAAAAACAAGCTTATAAATTATTTCTTCTTGGATACACCGACGGTTCGGCCTCGCCTTCCAGTAGTTTTGGTGTGCTGTCCGCGCACTCTGAGGCCCCAGTAATGCCTCATGCCTCTGTGCGCGCGAATCTTCTTCATGCGTTCCAAGTCTTCGCGGAGTTTCGAGTCCAACGAGGACGAAGTCAACTAAAAAGAGAAAAAGGCCTCTCCGTGACACTACCCCTCACACGAAACCGCGTCCACTTACCTGACTGTACTTTCCGTCAATAATGTCCTTTTGTCTATTCAAAAACCAATCTGGGATTTTATATTGACGAGGATTCGACATGATCGTGACGATCTTCTCGACCTCCTCTTCCGAGCATTCTCCGGCCCGCTTGTCCAAGTCAACGTCCGCCTTTTTGAGGACGATATTGGAATAACGCCTGCCCACGCCCTTAATCGCCGTCAAGGCGAACATCACCTTGCGTTTGCCATCGATATTCGTACCCAAGATACGAAGAATGTGTTGAAATTTCTCCGGTATTACCAGCGACTGCAAAGAGAATCACGGATATTATTTACCAATCGGACACCGAAAAAATACTAGCGCGTCTCGAAAGCGAATAAAACGCGCGACATGCTAAACCGATTACGCGCAGTTTTCGAAATGCGATGGTCGAAATAAAACGAGATTGTAATTCGGAATTACCATTTTGGAAACGCAGAGAGACCAAAGGAAGAAACGTCAAACATTAATGACGTAACCGCAGGACACGGATTGGCAGGTCTTACGTCGCGACCAATTGCCCAAACTCTGAATTTCTGGGAAAAAATAAAATTTAAACGGAGTTTGGGGTTTTGTACTCTTTATCGACAATTTTCGTAAAAAAATTGGAAACAATTAGCATCTCAAATTGCTGTATAAAATGCCTGGCGATTTTTTAGTGGCCTTGATATATAGTGTTTGTGATCATTAAATGCGTGTGCGCTTTATGTGAACAATTTGACTTTCGTAATACGTTTATTAATCCAAATTAAGCTGACATTTAAGTTTACATGAATAAAATCATAATATAAACTGAAATACTATTGAGATTCACCAAGTATTACTTACTTATAAACATCTCTGGGTTTAACTTCCAATATTGCTAACCTGTATTATATAAAGCGCTTACATACATGACAAGGTGGGCGTATAAGAAAAATCCATAACGAAGATGTTTGTTTAAAGTGCTGAATAAAATCCAATTTATACTAATTAAATTAATTTAACCAATTTATCCGCAATTCTGTTACATAAATTGCTAATTCAGGTTGTTATAAACAAATTGTAAATTTTTACAACGGGTTTTAATTCGTTTGGTTGTATTTTGCAATACCCACAGTTTAAACAAATTATCCTTTGTCACTTTATATAATTAGATATTTTATCCATGGGAAGTTCTACAGTCGCTTCGTGAACATTTTTTCCTGACATCTAGTATCACATAAAGTTATATTTAGACAATAAAAAACGGGTTATAATTTTATTTGACAAATTTCTCGCAATTAGAGGCAAAATGAGTCGTATTCTTCTTCTTTTTTATGAATTGGTGTCTTCTCGAATTATCGTCCAGTACAAAATCAAATGTTGTCTTAAAGCTTTATAAATCTATAATGTATCTGCTATTAGTTAGTAATTTTTCCACGAATCCATTCTATAATGCTTGGCGCTGTTCTAGAACTTAAAGGAATGTAACCATTCTTCTTGGATGTTGGCCGAATGATCGTTATATAGTTGGCCAACTGAAGTATGAAGAAGACTTGATAGGTTAGAAGGGTTTTGTTTTATCGGGAAGGATTATCGCAGACAATGCAGAATTTCTTCGAGATTCCGGAATTTCACGACTTATTGTGGGTAAAAACGCGTAATGGCGGAAAGTTTTACTGGTATGTTATCGTTTCAGAAATGCGGTTAAGACGTCGAACGAAAAGGTTGTTGTTATTTCAATCATCGGGAAAACTGCCCATCGCTCGTTCGGTTTGAAAGCGAAATCGTTCGGGCGCCTCTTGCCGCACGGAAGCCAGCAGAAAGACCAAAACGTGAGGATCGCGGGATCCTATGATAAGGAAAGCGGCATCGTCTATCTCCACCTGTACAGCCTGTTGGACACGGACGTCCTTATACAGCAGTACCAGGGCGTGAGAGTGTCCTGTCAGAACCGACTGAACTGCGACGATTTCATAACGATAAGCGACGAAATAAAAAACCAGACCTCGAAATACATGTTGTTTTTGCTGTACGTGAGTCACATTGTGGTCCTCTCCCATCCAGGCTACACTTTCGACACGAATTACGTCCAGTACTTTAAGATAGTGGACTCTCTGAGTAAGCAGCTGTTCGATCACATAAGCGACTCCTTGGCGTCCGTCGAGTCCCTCAGCTATGACTGGGCGAACAACGGGCGGCCTTGCACGCCCCGCCTGCTGGTGCTGTTTGAGCGGAGCCCCCCAGGACTCGACAGCGATGGCATAAAGCGGATGGAGCACAATTTGGAGGACAAAATTTACCATGTGCTGAAGAAAACCAGGATTATATCCGGCGCGGGGTACTGGGTTTAAGTTTCAGCTGACTGGGGCTCATGGGACATATTTTCAGGCACTCGTTGTTCGCCATCCCGTTAAACGATGAGTTCGTTTACATTTCCGAGCGGCCTGCCGAGGACAGGCTGGGTGACGCGGTCAGGGGGTTGATACGAGACTGCCAGCCGGGGGGCGCGCTCCAAGTCACGCCTCCGTTTTCGAACGAGCCCTACCTCGAGAAGCACTTTTCGAGGTTTGTGCAGGTCCATGTGCAGCAGGCCCGCAATAAAGGTTTCGACGATCACGCCGTGTCGAGCAGGCACCAACACGCGCCCCCTTATTTCGAGGTTAGAGTCGTGGGTGATTGGGGCCCCTAATTCGGGTTGAAGCTTCCAGCTTTGAGGCTATGGACGGAGGTGTGCAAACGGCTTTACGACGTCATCATTGCTAAGGGTACGTTGGTGCAGACCCATTTTGCCGACACCCGATTTTCTGAACAGAGGTGCCTCAAAGTGCTGCCACTGGCGATGGCGCGCTATCAGGAGGGATTGCCCTCGCATTATGCCAAGGCGGAGCACGAGGCGCGGTTGAGGATAGCGCTGGGATTGTTCAGGTAAGTTTTCCTCAAGTTTGTAATTTTTTTTTTAAATAATCTTCTTCCCTTTTCTCCTGCATCGTCGAAGCTTCTATATGAATATTCATCCACTTCCACTACAAAAACTCATCTCAAATTCGAAAATATTAGAAAATATTTCGATCCTTTGCGAAAATAGAGTATGTTACGTCAGAATTGCCAATTATAGATACAAGTGCGATGGAATAAACGTCTGTTGATCATGGAACATAGAAATTTGCCGGCCAATAGGCCAAAAGTGTTCGTGTTTGTGTAAAATGTTTCGAAAAATCAAAAAACAAGGAATTTTTTTTTTGCCTGCAACAGTTTATTCTGTTAGTGATTATAACTTACTAATTTGTTTCTGTTGAATTAATTTTCCCACTTTTTTTCGGTATCGAATTTCAATCCGAATAATATCCGAAGTTTGTCAATGTAAACGTGACTTTGACGTCGGGCTGTATAATGGTGTTTTGCCAACGGAAGATACTTATTTCTTTGGTCAGTTTACTATTCAAAGCCTAAAATAATGTATTTACCTGGAAATGGAATATAAAAAATGTTTTTTTAAAGAAAATTTCAGTGAATATAAATTTTAAAACTTCCAGATAAAAAAACGGGTTAGAGAAAATGTCGAAACTGTCCGGGTTTAAGTTCTCTTCTTCTTTATTCCTGCAATTTAATTTTGCAATAATCATTCTGCCAACAGGGCTGTTTGCTATTAAAAGCATAGAATAATGTATTCATTTGGTAAATGGGATAAAGAAAACGGAATTTTAGAGAAAATTCCATTGAATACCGGCGTTTTAAACTTTTTTAAAACGTTCTCTGGAGTTAAACTGAAGCTGGCCAGGTTTATGTTCTCTTCTTCTTTATTTATGTTGGCCTGATTCGCAATCATCGATCGGCCGACATCCAGACTAAATAAAAGCTTTTATCGTTGTCGAAATCGAAAGGGCGCAAGCGCGGGGCCCCAAATACCACCAGTACGAGATGCAGCTGGAAATGGAATGCACGAGTCACTGGGAAAACGGTCGGCAACAGTGCGAAGCCGCCTCCATGACCGGAAACCCGTGCAAATTGCCGAAACATGCCAGCGATCAGGAACACATCAGCGGCTTCATTTACAGGTGTACGTCATAGTTTACGCGACGATGCAATTATAATTCGGGAACGCAATTGCAGCGGTGTGTGATTGTGGCCGCAAGGTCGGACCCAGAGACGACCCGTACACCGCGAAGCAAGCGAACTTTATCTTCTATCAGCAAATCGCGAAGGAGTGTCAGTGCTCGAAACTGGAACGCATAGATTTTCCGGTGTTCGAACCGTCGATCAAAGAGTACAGGGCGGCGACCATCAACGAAACGGAGGAGGCCCTATCGGTCTTATCGGACCGAAGCGTCCAACTCACTCCCGAAGTAAGTACGCTCGGGCGAATTTCTGCCAAAAATCGGAAATGTTCATTTGACACTTTCAGCAGCACTTCATTCGGTCGGTCATTATCTCAGATAGCGGGCTGTCGTCCTTTTTTTCTAAGCTGCCCCGCTCTAGTTTTATTCTTATCTATTTGTGTTGGCCCAGTGTACATTGATCAGTCGGCCAACACACTATAAGATCCTTACTCTATATTTCTTTGGTTTTCAAGGTATATAAATAAATCTTTAAATCTCCCTGGCGAGTGAAGCTCTGAATTCTGTTCTTCTGGTTCTCTCCTTTTTAATTTTTGTTGTCCCGGAGTGCAATGATCATTCGGCCAATAAGCCATGCTTGTTTTTTTTCTCAATTGACTATTAAAGTCTTAATATTTAGGCAGGATTCTTTTAGTCTCTATTTCTATTGATCCAGAGTGCAATAATTATTCTAACAAAAGGCCATACGTGTTTCTTTATTGAACTTAAATTCCTTTCTCTTTGCCTTATTGGTTTTTACAGAACTTTTCTGGGGAATACAAATCTTAAAATTCCCTGACAAGTAAAATTTTTTTAAAAGTTTTTATCGTTTAAAAAAATTTTCTGACGTAAGTGTCTCGTTAGGGACAGTGCGAATTGAAATATCAGATATACAGGGTGGTTCATAAAGAATGGACACACTGGACAAAAAAACGATTCGATTTATCTAAATAAGTTTCACATTCGTCTTTGTCATGTCAAAAAATCTGCCTATTATTATTATTGTATGAGAGACTTATGTCAGAAATTCTTAGTTTTCAGGAGATAGTTATTGGATAAAAAGGTTTTTTTTTTTTCAACGAAAAAAAAATATTTAACCCCTGAAATATTTTCCCAAAACAATTAAATTACATGAACAAAATCCCGCTTTTTTTTGCTAATTTTTTATTTTCAATTAATGATTTCAAAAAGCAAAGCCTCAGAAATTTCGGATAAAGACCAGGAAGAAAAAGTTTTTTTTATTATTCGCATGTTTTTAGCCACTTTTACCGAACTATGATGATATAACATTTTTATGATTTGACCGACGTCATTCGTTCTGGTTATTCACTCGTGTTCGTTCTCTTGGCGATTTGATTATTGCCCAGCTCTACTTACGTCCACAAAATTGGCTATTATCCCACTTCTAAGAGTGTTTCGCTTCAATAGATGGAAAAAGGTTTGGCACGTCAGCCCAGCACCACGGAATACCTACCGGGGATGGTGACGTCGACCTCACCCCCAGGTTTATTACCGGTATTCTCGAGCTGGTCTCTGGTCTGCCTCGGGGCGTCCTCCCTCTACAGTCACAACATAGGTACGATCCTTTCGTAAAACGTGTCGCCGTTTAATTGTCAAATTCTCCCCGAAGGTCTGACCGAATCGTGCCACCCGGGCTTTCTAAGTTCCACCAATTACCTGCTGCCGTGGGACGTGTCCGTGGGCACGAAGTAATACCTCAAACGGTCAAAGTTTTCATCGGAGTCGAGTACGAGTGCACTTTGGGCCACAGGTTTATGCTGGCCGCCCCGGATCGAATGCTGAAAGCCGCACCCGGAAGCATAGTCAAGGACACCGGCCACAAGGTGGCCGAATCCGACATGCCGCTGTATTTCCCGTGCTCTTGTCGGGCCGGCAAGATCGCCCAGCTCATGCGTTTGCACGTAGTCACACCCAAAGCCCCGGTCCACTGCACTCTGAACCCCAGGGTAAAGTTTGTTCGGTGATTTGCGGCGGGAAATGAGAAAATTGATGGTCGTAGGTCCAGCCCGCATCGGGAGCGCCGATTTTTATATGTTCCGTGGACGGGCCGGCCAAGCTGACGCAGTCCGCGTATTGGGTCTTGCGCTTACCGTTCGCTTACGTCGCCGACAAGGAGCATTACTCGCAGAACTTGACCGGGAAGCTGCTGCAAGGCGTGTTCGGGATCGCCGAAGCTGATTATTAACGTCTTACTGCTACAAATTTCGAGTTAAATAAATTTGGTTTCAAATATCGCGTTTTTTTTTCACTCTTCGTTCGTAATTTTTTTTTTAAATAAGTTTTCGGTTTTTAAAAAGTTTTTTGTTATTATTACTATATAACATTTATTGTCATATAAGTTTCGATTTAATTAAAAGTGGTTTCAGATAACGCTTTTTTTTTCTTTTCACAAATTACAGAAACAGTCTTTGTTTATCTACTGGTAGAATGAGGTCATTTTTTTAAAATGAGGTCTTTAATTTTCATGTTTTTATTATTACTATTATTATATAAACAATAATAAAGTTTTTTCGCAGAAAATTTATTACAGAAAACATATTTGTATAAATTATATAATTGTCCGCAATATATATATATATATATATATATATATATATATATATATATATATATATATATATATATATATATATATATATATATATATATATATATATATATATATATATATATATCCGTCCTTATGCCAGCAGACAAAGGAAATGCCACTGTCGTCATGAATACGTCGGATTATAATGCAAAATTGGAGGATATTTTGAACGACCCAATATACAAACTAGTCACCAGAGATCCCACGACATATTTGGAAAAAACAACTAAGTCCAAAATTCTCGATTCATCAATATACGAGGATACAAAGAAGAAACTTATTCCGAGGGAAAAATACAAAATTCTACGGGCTCCCAAAGATCCATAAGGACGGGGTTCCCCTGCGTCCAATCGTAAGCGCCTTTAACTCACCATTATGCAAGCTGGAAAAACATCTGGCCAGTGCACTTCAGCCTATAGTGGAAAAGGCAGATTCCTATGTTAAAAACTCAGAACATTTCACTCAGATTTTAGGTTCTCTCAGGATGGACAAGGACGACATTATGGCAAGTTTCGATGTCAAATCCCTCTACCCGAGTATTCCAGTAGAAGAGGCACTCTTGCTTATAGAAGAAAACGAAGATCTTCCGCCATACATAATGGAAGACATTGCCTGAAAAACGCTTACTTTATGCACAACGGGAAAATTTACCGACAAATAGATGGAGCAGCAATGGGATCATCTCTCTCACCTGTGATTGCCAACCTCTTCATGATTTACTTCGAAAAGAAAGCAATTGAGAAGGCAAATCTGAAGCCAAAACTATGGACAAGATACGTTGATGACGTATTTGTTGTATGGCCTTTTGGCAAGGAGGAGCTTTTGAAATTCCTAGATCATCTGAATTCCATTCACCCAAGGATTCAATTTACAATAGAACTTGAAGAGGATAACAGTCTGCCCTTTTTAGATGTGCACATCACAAGGACCGAGGATGGACACTTGGAACACACTGTCTATAGAAAACCAACACACACTAATAGATATCTGAACGCTAAATCTCATCACCACCCATCACAGATACAGGCAGTGGCAAATACATTAATTGCGCGGTCCTTCAGGCTCACAAACGAGAGGAACAGAGATAAAGAACTGAAGAAAATTAGTACCTGTCTTCGACAAAACGGATACCAAAGGCGCACCATCAGCAAGGCAATCAGTAAACAACAATAGCCGCAGCAGAGAGTGCAGGACGAGACCCAACGAAGATCGATCGCTGTCCTGCCATACATCAAGGGGGTTACTGACAAAATCGGCCGAATATTACGGAAACACGACATATCAACGGCATACAAACCTGACCATACCATCGGAGCAATACTAAGAAACCCAAAACAAAAAAAATTACTCTGGAAAACCAAGGAGTATACAGTGTAGCATGCGGATCGTGCAGCCTGACGTATGTGGGAAAGACGAACAGAAGGATTTCAGCCAGGCTCGAGGAACATCGTTTAGCCATAAGAAACAAACAAACAACATCTGCTTTGTTTCAGCACCAACATCAGACAGGCCATAAAATTGATTTCGGCACTTGCAAACAAATAGCTAATATTCCTGATTTTAGGACTAGGATTATACGAGAGGCCATCGAAATAGAAAAGTCCGGACACCTCAATACGAGAGACGACGCTCTGCATTTATCCAACACGTGGAGAACGATAATCAAACAGCAGAGCGATGCGCAGCAGCCAACGGGGACATCGCAACTACGATCGGGCGAAATTAACAACGCGACAATTCAGGGGGCGGAGCCACCTCCCCCCACGCACAAGCAGCGCCGTTACCATCTCCGGCGCAGAGTATAAATACCGCACGCACCGCCGATAACCTCCCAGTGTTCGAAGTGTTTTCGGAGCGCGAGCATTGAAGATGCCAAGTGAGATTTTGGCGAAACGTCTGCGGGATTCCAGTCGGATGCAGGATTTGCAGGATTCCAGTCGGAGTTCAACGAGCGAACGGATGATATCCCGGAATATAGTGTCATCATATATATATATATATATATATATATATATATATATATATATATATATATATATATATATATATATATATATATATATATATATATATATATATATATATATATATATATATATATATATATATATATATATATATATATATATATATATATATATATATATATATATATATATATATATATATATATATATATATATATATATATATATATATATATATATATATATATATATATATATATATATATATATATATATATATATATAAAGCTATTTTCAAATATCGCGTTTTTTTTCACAGACAGAAACACTCTTCGTTCATCATTTTTTTTTTAATAAAGTTTTTTTATTATTACTACCATATAACATTTATTGTCATATAAGTTTCGGTTTAAATAAAACTGATTTCAGATAACGCTTTTTTTTTTCTTGACACAAATTACAGAAACAGTGTTCATTTATCTACTGGTAGAATGAGGTCATTTTTTTAAAATAAGGTTTTTAATTTTCATGTTTTTATTATTACTATTATTATATAAATTTATTACAGAAAACATATTTGTTTAAATTATATAATTACCCGCAAAAAGGGAGCGATGACAAGTTACAACTTGTCAAAGTTCAGCCGCAAAAGCATGTATAATCGCAAAAAAAGACAAAAGATTTCCGCAAAACTATAATAGTCATTACAACTTACACTTCTCAGCTTTTCGTAATATTCTAAAGCTTCTTTTTTGCACTGATAAAACCTTGGTTAATCCGAATAAACTCCTTCAAAGAGTATATTTTTTAATTCAATATTTTTTTATTTGGCATTTAAATTAACTCTCATTTTTAATAAACGTAACAAGTGATTGTAAATTCTAATAATCTTCATCTAATAATCTAAAAACGTAACTGTTTTCATAAGTTCTCTGCATTCGTTCTTACCTAAGTGACGCAAAGAAACAAAATAGGAAAAATTAAGCTCTATTAATGTATTTTTTTAGGCCAACACTACCCCACCAATGCGCACACTGCCACCCCAAACTGGAATGCCACAGATTACAGAAACTTGAATAAACCAGCTTAATATATCTACTTACACCTATTAATTTTAGTAAAGTTTATTTTACTTTGTTGTTTATCTGAAAAAGTCCAGAAGGTGTATGTGCCTACAAGTTTCACGGTCTGCAGAAGTTTCTTTTAAAAATTATTCTACAGTTTGTTCCAATGGAGGTGCAAAAATGATGTTATCAAGAAGGCGTCGTGAAAGTCGCTCAATTCAACTTACCTTAAAGGTGCATAAGTGTGCTGGAAACGCCTTTAGGCCTGGAACTTTTGGTAACTGATATTTAAAACATTCAAAATCGATTTACCTTAACATCCCTGTTCTCTGTAATGGAATTTCGGGAAGTATGACCCAAAATAAGTGTCCGAAATTTCCAGCGATCGAGTTGAAATTGCGCAGGAGATTGAGAGGAGAGAAAATTTTGCGAAGTATTAAAAAAAATATATCGACATTTTTTTTCGAGACCGCAAAAAAAACGCCGTGTCCGATGGAAAAAATTCATGAACCAGAAGCGAGATGAAGCGAAATAACCTTAGTCAAAAATATACCGAGCGTTCAAGTTATAGGCAAAAAACTGAAAATTTTGGAGTAAATTGTTGACCTTAACTGACGAATTGGACAAACGTGGCACTTTGGTTTGAACGCTCTTTTTACTTTTTACTCAAGATTAGCATGCTATAACGGGGATATATTACACAGGGAATACCGAAAATATACATTATGGTCAACATACTGATATCGAATAAAATACCAAAACACATTAGCAAACAGAAAGTTAGAAGTAACTGTTGATGGAACACTGTTTCTCAGATTTATGAAAATAATACAGGGTAAATGACAAATGACAATTCTAATCGAATAAATAACTCGTGAAAGTACGGAAAAATATATATATATTTCGAAGTAACGAGAAACAAAACGACGAACTCCTCTTCTTCTTTTACGCTTTAGCGTGGTCGTTGAGCGGGATACTTTCCACGGCTTCCTCGATTTTTTTGGGCGGCTCCGTGGAAAAGATGAATCGGTAAAGGAGGCCGCCGAAGAAGCCGGCGCTCAAAGGCGCCAACCAGTACAGCTGCAGGACCGTAATAAATAATTTATTAAATGTAAAAAAGTATTGTCTGTTCTCTGTAGACGGAACCTAATTCTGGCCATAATTTTTGAAAGGTTCTAGGTAGAGAGTTCAAATTTCGCTCGTTTGGACCTCACCGCCCTCCTCGTCACGTCAATGAAGATAGCCGCCATCCAAAATCGGCGCCCATCTTTTTTCCGAAAAATTACGTCAAATCTTTATCAGACCGAACTCTCGTGAGGTCCGAGATCATTTATAACCCTTACGTAAGGGGATTTTATCCATAAGTCACCGAAAACTGAATATTGAAAAAATCTGCCATAACTGAAACAATGTAATTTAATTGCGCTTTAGGCAGTGGGGTTCGTTTGTTTTTTTTTTGGGTCAACTTTAGTTTCGAAAATTCAATCGGAAAAGTTTGCTTTTGACAATATGATAGGCCGTTACCAGAGTTATGGTTTCCATCATACAGGGTGCGCGAGATATATGTCAGATTTGGTCAGGAAAAAGAAGTCTCACGTACCCAATGGTGATCCCAGTCTCCGTTAAACAGCGCAGGCGCAAAACTCCTGACCGGGTTCATGTGGGCGCCGGTGTAGGGGCCCTGCAAATCGCAGTGCAGGAAGAAATTTTACGGTTTCAGTTTGAATTTTAGGAAAACGCTGAAAGGCCACCAAGAATAAAATATGGATTTTAGTTTAATACGGGAATTTTTTGAGGAATAAGTCACAATTTCTTACAAAACTCAAAATTCAGATTTGTTTTCCAAAAAAACTTACTAGGGAAAAATTCTGACTTAACTCAGAAATTCTGCCTTATTTTCCAGAAACTTTTTTTTTTCAGAAATTCTAATTTAAGTCAGGAATTGAAATATCTAATTTGTTTTTTTAAAAATTCTGACCCATTTTTTAAGAAATTACGAATTAATATAGAAATTCCGACTTCTTCAAAATTCTGTTGTTTTTTTCTAATTTTGAATTATTTAAAAAAAAATTGAATTGTTTTCTAAAAATTGTGATTTTTTTAAATTGCTGACTTTTTAGAAATTTAATACGGAAAATTTTTGGGGAATAAAATACAAAAGTTAAAATGCAGACTTGTTTTCCAAAATTTTTTTCTTACTTTGGACTTATTCTTGAAGACATTATGACTTGTTTTCCAAAAATTCTGATTCAGCTTAGAATTTCTAACTGAATTTATTCTTTAAAAATCCCGATTTATTTAAAAAAAAACTTATTCTTTAGAAATTCCGACTAAACTTAAAAATACAAAAATTTTCCACAAAATTTCTCCTTAAAAATTCAGAACTATTTTTCAGAAATTATTACTTGTTTTTCAGAAATTCTGACTTAAATTAGAAATTCAGATTTGTTTTACAAAAATTATGATTTATTTTTTAAAAAAAGCGACATTTAAAAAAACGATTTAACTTAAAATTTTCGACTTGTATTCCAAAAATTCTGATTTATTTGACTGAATGCTGACTTATTTATTAATGAATTCCAAATCCAGAAATTATAATTTATTTAAAAAAAAGTCTGATTTATTATTTTAGAAATTCCGACTTGACTTAGAATTTATGACTTCTATTCCAGAAATTCACACTAGTTTTTGCAAAAATCTGATTTATTTTTTCAAAATTCTGACTTATTTTCCAGAAATTCAGATTTGTTTTCAAAAATTCCGACTCAACTCAGAAGTTCTGTTTTATTTTCTAGAAATTTTTGCTTATTTTTCAGAAATTTCGATTCAAATTTGACAGAAATCCTGACGTAAATTAGAAATTCCGATTTGCCTCGCCGAACCAAAACCTACATATATTTTTGGTGGCATTTTGGGTCCGTTCAACTCACCGCCGCCATAGCCAGCACCGCGATGGTCAGTCCGAATCTTATGGGCACGGAATCGTGCTTGTTGCTGTTCCTGTGGTCCCACACGCCTCCGCACACCAGCGCCAAGATCAGCGTCGCCAAAAACTCCACCAGAAAGGCCTGACCCGGACTGACCGTTATTCCGGGCGAGCAAACTCCCGGAGTTTTAACTGTACCGTTGAGGATCTGGTTGCCCATGTACTCCGCAGGCGTGGATATCTAAGAGAAAATAGGGACCACGTCCGCGGACGGTCGACCATTTTAATCAATAGTAGATACCTTCAATAGGGAAAAACCCAAAAGGGCACCCAAGAGTTGACCGACGAAATAGATGGGCACCCGGATCAGGGCGATGTGACCCAGCGTAGCGGCGGTCACCGTCACGATGGGATTGATGTGGGACCCCGACACGTGACCGAATACCTGCAAGTTTAGAGCGTTCGCACGCCTAAATTAACGATTTCCATAAGAAGGGAGTTCCTCAGGGCTCTACACTTGGCCCGCTTCAGTTTACGTTTATCTAATACGCAATATAATTGAAAAAAGAAACTGATTTAAATTGTTTTTTTTTTTATTTCATGGTTGTGGTAAATCTGACAACGTTTCAGCTTTGGCTGTTTTGGATATATTTAAGATGTCGTCCGAGAGAACCGCATGTTTTTTTTCAAAGAAAACACAGGTTTTTAGCAATAAAATAAACACTTTAAAATACTGCAAGCTCGAAGATGTTCACTTAGTGTTGGAGATATTTTGAAAGAGCCAAAATAATGAGACACTTTTCATATAGTCATATTTTATTTGCAATACAAATAACAGAAATTTCGTAACACAATTAAAAATATAATAAAATTCTCTTCAGGTTTTATTAAAGAAAAATGAATTTTTCCCATACAAGAAAATACTGATAAAAATTGATAATTGTCCGACAAAATAAAAAAGCTGCGCATAAAATTTCGAAGACCGCTATTTAAAAAGTTGCTCTAATAAATTTTCATATAGCTTTGAAAATGTCCGTTAAAAAACGAATGGATACTTTCCAAAATCTATCATTTTAGGTTTCAAAAAAAACGAGTTCTGAAAACTCTTTCTGCGGCTCATTAAAAATCACTTGTGTTGCTTCCTAGTCAGACAACAAGTATAGTGAAGAACTAGGCATCCTAGGTAAGATCTGATGATTATGGTAGCGAAAAATTGAGGTTAGGACCATAGAACAAACTATTATTATTGTATTGGTTAGGTGAACATGTAAACGTAGATGAAAGAGATCGATCATTTACTTACTATGAATTTGAATTTCAATGAATTACTATGAAAATTTTACATTTTTTTAAATTTATGTTGAAAAAAGAACCTCAGCCTGTTGTTTAGTACTGCTTACTGGTCGGCTTTTGAAAACAATTTTTATACACACGCCACCGTAGTAGAATAAGTAATGAAAAAACTAAGAGCTAAAAATCTGCAGGAAAAATATTTTATGCAAAACATTGGAAAATATTTAAAGTCTTTTAATAAGTGGAATATAATTTTTGTGAATGTTCTCAAAATTAATAATTTATACTTTTCTTGTATATTATATGAAAATACTTCGCACATTCTAACACGTAAAAATTATTTTGCAGTATCTATTCGGCATGCGTGACGTATATTGTGTGTGATTAATGCTTAGAAAGAGCACGTTCTACCAAAGATCTGGGTGTAACATATAGTAGTGATATAACATTCGCTTGTCACAATAAGGCTATAAAGTACACTTACATTTGAGCCCATAAAACATCTGACACATTCAATATTCGAACTTTGCAATGTCGCAAAAAATCATGATCTTTGCTTCCCATTTAAGCAAATGAATAATCATGTTTATTAATCTACTATTAACTTTAGTGCATATGCAACAAGCACTGTTTAGAATTGCTTGTCTATTTTTATATTTTATCTTGTTTAAGTACCATATATGTTTCTAATTCTCGTTTATTGTAAATAAAAACTGGCCAGTTCATTAATAACCTATAATTAAATCGTGAGGTCAAGATTAACGAGTCTAAACCGAGATCACACAGCATAAGCGAATTCTTTGTCATTAAATCCGAATGCCGGTTTAATTAGATCCAAAACGGTAATAAGGTTAATTTGCCAATAATTAACCATGTAATTGGTTAAATTTCCTACTGTTGTTTTGAATTTGGATAATGGCGACCAAAAGAACGTAGATCTCTTTGATCTATAATGTCTCATTTAAACCTAATAAACTATTTTACCGAGATTTCCGAAATAATCATTGTATTATGGTCCGAGACTTTCGGTAGTTTTAATAGTCTGCGGTAGAATTTCACCTGAATCACAGACCATAGTGGCAAATATCAGAAAGTCGAAGCCATTTTGATATATTATGTGTTTTGCATAATAATAATGATGGCCGAAAGCCTCTGTTGGCACATTTAGTGAGGTATTTATGTTTTCACAAGACGATGCTTTAGTTGGTCAAATGATGAAGATATTGTGGGTATTTTTTAATCGTCCATATTTTTATTCATCGTCGACTCTGTGGAAATCATTTTCTAAAAGTTTCTGAACATTTGTTTGACGAGCCTTTCTTATGATTTCTTCCCAGAAAAGTATATGTAAATATTGTCATAAATGGTCAGTATACGTCAGCGGTTAGTGACTTATTTCAAAGGGTTTAGAATGCCAGAATAGGTAGAACAATATGTAACTTAAACAGCCTCGTAACTATCACTTAACATTATAATAACATATTATTTATCATATTAATAAGACATTACTGTTTAAAAAAATATATTTTTATCCTCTTTTTTCGAAATCAATTAGAGAATCTCTGTTTTCAAAATTTATCAAAAACAAAGAAGACAAATTTAATGCGAACCAGGCAGTGCCGTCGGACGACGTAATGACACGTGACTGCCGAGATAAGACTGTTTGATTTGGCGAAAATCTACGGTGACTGATTTACAGACGTCTTTCGCTACATAAATCATTCAAAATTTCCGGTCAAGTTTTTTTTTTAATTTTTACTCACGGCGTGAGAAAGACACTCCGAATCTTCAATTCTATATCTAAAATTAAGTTTGCAGGCCCATAGATAATTAACAGCCGTAATTATTTTATTAAGTTACAACAAACGTAAAAAGTGAAAAGCCCCTATTTTTTTTATAAGGTTGTCCAATCCGGAAATCATAGTTTCTAGTGTTCCTTCATTGTAATAATGCTGTGATTATACAGGGCGATGCACCTGAATCTAGATTCTGTTCGATAAATAGAGTCGATTAACTGCCATCTTGTTCGCAAAAAGATAACGTGTAATATTTTAGTGTAACAACGAATTATTCAATTGGAACTTTCACTGCTGATAACTAATCGAATATCGACAATAAAAGAGACGCCTAAAAACTACACCTGTGAAAGAAATATGCGAATAAACAAAGTCATTTTTATCGGCAAAATGATTATACGTCTTGCTACCTGACCATTTTTTTTAAGAAATGCAATAAAAAACTATATGTTCCGTTTAGAAATTTAAATGTTGCCATTCGTTTCAGGTACTGGGTGACTCAAAAATAACATACGGGAGTTCTAGAGACACGTTTTATTGTTTTTTTACTTTCGGGTTTTTTTGGAGTGTCTTCGGAAATTGTGTTTTTTTTCTAATTTAAGCGTCTTATGGTTTTCATTACACGGGGTGTTCTATTAGAAATAAAAACGCGGGCCTCAACCCCAAACGAACTGTGTATATGAAATATTAAAAAACCTAGACGAAACTACTTTTCGAATGTTTTTTTCAATATTTCCTGCGCAGCGGCTAAAAGATATTCCGCAAAAGCAGGGTGACGCAAAACATATAATCGTCGTTGTTTACGAACGCTTCTGTTGTGAAACGTCTCTATTAATAACAGCCTCCAGTGCCGTAGCGGTATTTTGAGAAAAAGAAAACTAAAGTCGGTTTTACCTGTACGGCGATCATGACCGCCAGTCCGAACGTCAGCGAAATTTGCTCGTGCGGGATCGCCTTAGCTGAAGTAATATCAGTTACGCAGCCCATGCACCCCAGAAACACCAAAATGGCGGTACCGCCTAGTTCGCTGAGGCACAGCACCACCCTGTCGCCGGTGGACATGTCGTCCAACAATTTGATTTTGTTCCCTGAGAAAGAGGCGTAAAAAATCAACGTTAACCATTCCGGTTGTGAAGTAAACTATAAAAAAAGTAGTGTTTTGGATATTGCATATTTCGATATACAGTGGAGTTCAGATATAGTAAACCTGTTTATTGTGAACACTCGGTTATAATGAACACTTTTTGAAATACACTCAAAAAGTCTCATAAGACTGTTTGCAGTGATCCCGTATATTCGGATACAGTCAAGATAAAGATACACTTTCCATTTTTAATGAACTTTTTTCTGTTGTTTGTTTTATTGTTGTTTTGATCTCAGTTGTGATTTATCAAAAACGAAAAGCATTAATGTTGAAAGAAAAATACGATGTTATACAAAAAATTTAACGTGGTATGAAACAAAGTGACACCAAACAAATGAATTTGCCTAAAGCAACTGTCTCCATCACCTGGAAAAAAAATAGGATTCTCTCGTCCTATGTTCAAGTGAATGCAAGTTGTAAAAGGCTCAGAAAATCAGCTCATGAAGGCGACAATAAGGGACTTTTACAGTGGTTTACCCAAAAAAGAAAAGAAAACGTTCCCATAAGTGGTCCAGTTCTTCAGCAAAAAGCAAGTGAAATGGGAAGTAGAATAGAAAGGAAGAGATTTTGTGTGTTCCAGATTGATTGATTGGACGTTTTAGGAAGGGAAATTGAATCTCTGGAGAAAAAACCGTTGGTGAGTCTGCATCAGTGATATTTCTGCAAACTAACCCCTGATAAAGGAAAGGTGTTCAGGTGAAAAATCGTCCAAGATTCGAATAACAGTTCTGATTACTGCAAACATATCTGGAACATAGAAGAGCAAGCTGTTTGTTATCGGGAAATCAGTAAAGAGTGGATGACATCTGACTTATTTATTGAAGAGCTGTTCGAATACAGAATTGAAGAAGAAGAACAAAAAAAATTTTCTTCTAGTAGATAATTGTCTAGCACATCCTTATGTTCCTTTGAACCAAATCAAAATGGTTTTTATGTCACCCAATACCAGTTTTAAACTGCATCCCATGGATCAAGGTATAATCCATTCCCTGAAGTGTCACTATAGGAAGATTTTTTGCTGATAAAGATGATAGAAGCGACTGATGATGGCCAAGAGCTTTCAGTGAGCTGATTGGATGCTGTAAATTTTATTCACCGTCCTTGGCAGGAAGTTAGCAAAAACACAAAAACCGTTATCAAGGATTCTTTGAATAGGAATATATATATATATATATATATATATATATATATATATATATATATATATATATATATATATATATATATATATATATATATATATATATATATATATATATATATATATATATATATATATATATATATCTAGAAAAATGCTAGTACATCATGACAGTTTTTTAAAAAACAACGTACATAATATTGTATATTATGTAATAACCTCCATTCATCGGGTAAACATCGGGTGTGTACAAACGTTCATTTATTGCTTACAACGAACCAATTTTGATGCAACTTTCGAGTTCACTATATAAAACTGAGCCAGTATGACATGGTGTATTCAAAACAAAGACAGAATCATAATTTCGAATAACCGGTCATGGCGGACACTCAAACGAAGGTCAAAAGATCATGTTTTTTTCAATTATTAACCTATGTAAAGCATCTGTTACAATCACGTAATATTGGGCTTTAAGGAAACATTTCATGGTATTCTAGAATCTTACTTAAAGGGTCTATTAAAATTTTGTAGAGATACCGTCTTTGGACCGCTGCTTTATACTATTTATACATATATCCATAGCTCTCCTCTAACAAATTGATAATGAATGTGAATAAGACCAAGTTTATAATCATTTCTATTCTAAATTCCTGCCGAATTTCAATACGACAGCTCGAAATTTTTCGAGTAAAATCCTATTAAAATGGCAGCCGATGCCTGATCGGGTCAATATTGTACGGGACGCTGCGCGTCGGCTAGTATTGCTATTGAAGCAAGTACTTCGATTGAGCTTTAAATACTTCCCGAAAATCCGTTACGGAGAACAAAGGAAACGGAGAACAGACACACGAAGGCTTCAAGAATGTTATGAACGCGTCGGAAAATGCTAACACTTATTCGAAAGTTGCTTCAAAAAAAATATTACGCTAAAAAAATTAGTAAAACTAGGTTAGGTTGTAGGCACAACGTCATTTTTTAATTTTAACTTTCGTCAGGTTATTTTTTTACAATCTAAACCTACAAATTCGAAAACAACTGCGTTAACACACGTTTATATACGATTTGACGCTGTCCGCGTTATTATTATACGATAAATACGGGCAAACTACATTAATCGGGACTTTGGTCATGTGTATTTTGCCGATCGTTTTGGCTAGAATCCAGGCGTCGCGAAAAACACCGCGTCATTTTGACCGCATATTCCGTGCATGTTTTCGACCCCGATGAATAGTAAATCGATACGGAATCGAATTAAAACAATACGACAATTTTATTGTGGTCCAATAAACGAAAGTAGTTGCTTTTTTTTAAACTAACTACAGCAGTGCTCAGAAAGTGTTTTTGAACACACCAATTCTATTCTGTTATCTTAAAGTGAGAACAATTGTTCCAACTTAGGTTACCAAAGGAAACAAAAAGAGAATCCTTCTAAGCATTGTAGAGGATGATAGAGTAAAATTCATTATCTCATTGGTTTCGAACGTTATGAGAAACTCGTAAATACAAATCGATGATTAAATTGATTTGAAAGAGAAGAAAATATGACTAATTAATATTGCAATGATAATTCAAAATATTATTCTATGATCTTGAAATTATGTTTAGAAGGAGGGAAAAATCTCATTATTTCAAATATTCAGTCTTTTAAGTCAATTTGCAAAACTATTGGGAACGATTTTTTAATCGAATTAAACAACTTTTTTGTAAAGGTTGTCCGAAATATAAAGAAAAGTTAAATAGATTTTTTTATATAAATGGGGGAAAATTCTGGATATATTTTATATAAGTTTAACCGTTTTCGAAAAATCCTGAAAAGTGTCGTCTGCAGGCCCCCAAAATACTTATCAATTTCCGTTCTGTTAAAGGGCCTGTTGTGATATATTGAATAACTTGTCTTATTTTCGAGACACAAACTGTCATTTTTTTAAAATAGAAAATCGTTTTTTTTTATTTTAATTAAACTTGACGTGCATCTCAGAGGGTAATCAATTTGTTAGTATATTTTATACATATTTTTAAGAATACACTATTTGAAGTGCTTTTTTTTTGTATATTCTAGTTTTTTAAAAGCATACCGAATTTTTACTACTTTTGCAATTAGATTATCCTCTGTGACACCTCTGATATTAATTGCTTATTTCGGTAAATAAAAATGTGAAATTTTATCAGTCAGGCAAAGGGTTGTTCAATAATTTGCAAAAATAAAAAATAAAAAAAGTGTCATTTTTACATGGAAAACGGATCTTGGAGGTATTGTATTGAACTTTTTTTTCTATCGTACAATTATCCAACTCATTGCTAGTATTTCGGAGCCCACAACTTTTTTCAATAGGTGAATTTTTAAAAAAGTAGATTCGGAAAACTTTTAACGATTTAAATTTTTATACCTAGGTTTTGATCGCCCTGTATTAAGGTAATCAGCGCACACCTCCAAAGTAAAAGGAAACCGTCGCCAAGTCTATATAACAAAAGCTTTCAGACTTATCAACGTCATTTTTGAAAATTCCAGGGAATTAAACAGTGCCCCAATATACAGAGTGTCCTATTTGAAATAACAAAGTTGTCCACGAAAAACAAACACCCTGTGTAAATGATAATGTAATATTTGAAAAGTATTAGTGAATCCCGCGTAACGTAGCCTAGCTCACCATGGGGTCCAGCCAACTTGCTATACCAAATTTCAAAAAATCGCTCGAAAATCCGAAAACCAAAAACCAATTAAACGAAAAACACTTGCCTTTGGCCATTTCGAGTGCGGATCGTTACGTCCCAATCGACTAGAATCTCCGGTGGAAAAAAAAACGAACCCCGGACTTGTTGCCCAATTTCACCGAGCAGATAACATTTCTGGTTGAACTGTTGCCGATAAACTCGCGCGGTTGAAAATAACCGCGAGCTCAAAACGGCCGCCATTGGCGCGCCGCTATCGCGGCCTCCGCTTCGTTGGGACAAAGTGTGACCGTTAATTGCGATGCAATTTGCATGAGAAAACGTCAAATTGCAATCAGACGCTCCCCGTCTCACTTCACCTTTCGTTTAAAACCGCGTCTCACTCTTTTTCGGGTGTTTTTTTTTTTTTGACGTGAGACAGACACCATTTCACTCGAAAACTCTAAAAGATCGGGCTAAATAAAGAGAGCAGACGTTCGAACAAGAAGTGCAGTACATTTCAAAGAAAAACTAAAACAACTATTTAAAATTGTCACCATTGTCACCACTCTAAGAATCATTCATCACTCTTGACGGATTCTCCTCCAAATAGTAACTACCAACCTCATACATTTTCTTTTTAAAGCGTCTTCTTAGAAGCCTAACTGAAACTGACTCGCGTACATTGTCTCGGATGACTTGATCGTCATATTGGTGAAACGTAACCATTCCTACCGAGCTTCTATGTACGACCATCTCAAGTCCGCAAAATTACAGCAAAATCTTTTGTTTTAAACAACTTAAATCGCAGATGTTTTATTCCTAATTTCAAAAACATATAGTTTATTGAAATTTCAATTAGCCGTTTTTCAGATATTCCAGTTTAAAAATAATTATCAGTCGACTTCGGGACTAAATGGCCAAGTCTGCCATATTATTTGTGTTTGCAATTGCAAAACTAAAGATCTGCAACGTAAGTGAAAAAACTTAAGATAGTTGAAATAAAATAATATTATTTAAACGGACATAATGTTGCAAGGGTTAAAAAAGAATACCGACAAATATATCCGGGTAGAAGAGTTGCTTCAATAAACACAATAAAAAATGTAATTAAACAATTTTGAGGACCGAAATAGAAGACCAGGATAATAGAAAGAAATATATCACTTTACTTTCAAGGTACGACACTTGACATCATGCCTTTGGGTTCTACTACCTTAATTTTTATATTACACATTTTTTAGAAAATCCTATAAATATAGAAAATTTTATAACCAACGCTAAAATATCATAAGTTCCTTCCAGTGCAAAGTTTAACCGATGAACAGAAAAGGCAGAGGCTCAAATTTTGCACTGAAATGTATAAAAAATGGAAATAATATTTGCGGATATATTTAATTGTAAGAATAAACATTTTTAGTCCACCAATTATCCACACAAAATGCAGGCAGTGAAAATCCAAGTTAATGAATAGTGTGGTATGTTAAACAATGTGGTAGTCGGACTAATTATATGCTAAGGATCCTTGAATGGCCAACGATATTTAAATTTCCATGCAACAGAAATAGAACAGTTACTAAAAAATGAGCCAGTTAGGAATCATTTAAATTTAATTTTAACATCAAGATGGCGCACCTCCACATAATGTCCAACCGGTTACCGATTATCTAAATAATATATAGAGACTTTGGATAGGTAGGCAAAGAACTATCAAATGGCCTGCCAACAACCCCGATTTGTGACATTTTTTTTGTGAAAATACTTAAATTGTTATTTTATATATATTTACAAGACCTAAACAGAGAAAATCCTGATTTTATCACTTCGTGTATTAATAGGAAATTCAAGGGAAATATTGTCCGATGTATAGAAAATAATAGAGGTTATGTGGAAAATGTTTGGCATTAATTATTGATTTTTTTATTGTTTGAATAATATAATTTTATTATTTGGCGTTTCTGTTCCTCCCATTGATAGATATAGTTGCTAGATAGATATAGACAGATATAGTTGCTATAAAGGCAATTTTGTGCAGAAATCGAATGATAATCATTTTTAAACTGAAATATCTCAAAAACGGTTAAATATAAAAATAAAAATAGCAGAAAAAGACCTTTATCTTTCAAAATTAACCCTGTACGTGGGTGTCAAAATATATTGAATACCCAGTACAGATTGAAAAATTGAATGCTTTCACACCAAAACAAAGTAGAGATGGATTCAACACTAGGAGACTCCTCTCCATATGCGAGACGAATTATATCCTTGAAAAGGCTAAGACTATCACTGGCAAATACTACGCAGAGTTATTTGCAACGTTTGACCTCATTTGGTGAAGAGAAAAATTTCGGGTCATCATGATAACGCCCTAGCTTATTCGTAGACTGTTGCCATGTCCAAAATCCAAGAATTGAAGTTTGAATTGATGCTGCAACCTCTATATTCTCCAGACTTGGCCCCCCGGCGGTAAAAAAATTTAAAAGCAACGAAGAAGTGATGTATCAGTGTTGATGGAGATTGTGGTAAAAAAAAAGCAAAATATTTTTTTTAAACATCATTTTTCTTTGTCAGGCCGGAAACTTTTCATCCCACTTTTGTAATTTACCGAAATATTATTACAATTACAATATTAATATTGTTCATAGGCACGCCACTGATTTCCTTAAAAAAAGTGACATTTGCATCAGATTTGATCTGTTAATTTTTTTTAGTCCATCGCACGGGTTTCACTTACAAATAAAAACTAATATCTCTGCATGCTGTCATATTAACGATATTGTCAGGACCTTGCAGAGAAGAAGTTTTTATTTTTTTAAAGCGAAAATCGTACATGGGATTGAAAAAAATCAAGAAATTAAATTTCTTTAGAAACGATTGGAGAATGTAAGAATAATTTTTAATTTAAGAGAAATCAGTAGCGTACCATCAATGTCTGCCAAGATCGACAGGTGAAATTTTGTACGACCGCCACTGCTGTATTTTACAAAAATTGTGGTATACTATAGTGGTATGTTGCTTGATGTATAGTACATGTGTGCCAAATTCCATTAAAATAACTAAAGCGGTATTCTCACAGGCTAAGAGCTTTAGGACAAGTGTCCATATGAAGTTTTCTTTTTAAAATGGACCCAAGAATCGCATCCTTAAGTATTCATGATCAATTAGAAAATCCGCTGCAAGACTTATTTCATAACTTGGTATTTTCTGGTATGGTGAAGTCGTGAAAATAACGTCATAGGTTTCGGGGCCTCACCTCTTTTACAAATCGCCTTAACCACCATCATTTTCTTCGGACTAGCTTCCGCCCGGGCACATCACATCGAAACAAACCAGAAATCTGTCCACGCGGGATGGAGCTACTCAGATGGGCCACACAAGGCGCATCGTATCATAAGCACGTGAGTCTAATGGAAGTTGTCTTGTTGCGTCAACTATTTGAACATGCTTGACATGGATGGGCCCTTTTTGACTTGTTAGATAATGACTAGTGACAAGTCTGACCAGCGATCCCAAGATCACGGTAAAAAGACGTTTTTTTTTTCAATTAAAAAAATCAGTAAAATCGTCACTTTCTTCGTTTTATCCCTTTTGTGTGTCAAAAGTTTTGTAATTTATGAGTTATAATTTTCGAATTTGTGATATTATTATTAGGCCTCTCAACGCCATTTCCAATCCTATTTTGTACAAATTGCAAAACCGCACTATTTTGGTCTGTGGTTCGTAGTTACTTACGAGCAGAGTTCCACAGACAACTGAAAGTCGTCCACACGGCTTTAATACCCAATGATTTAGTGCCATCTCGCCCGATATCCGCCATAGCGCCACAAATCACAAACGATTTATCTCGCGTTAACGACGGAGCTTCAATAGGCAACAAATCCGATGGGGCAATCTTTTATCGCGTTTTATTGGCATAATTCGTTTAATTATTTTACGGGTAAGACTGTAGAAAGCCGAACGTTTCTCCTATCTCCAGTTTCTTTCGAAACCTATCGCCAATCAAACGAATCGTCTTAATAGTGTGCTTACCTTTAACATTTCTTACAAGTCCATCAACGGACTATAGATAAAGGTCGATTCATAGCAGAAAACAATCCTGGGCACGCACTTTTTCGCCTGTCGTTTAAATTAGATCGTTTAGGGCGCGATTGAACGCTTAATACAACGTTTTCAAAAACGAAACAGCGGAACTTCTTCGTTTCCATTGGGGCAGTTTACTATGGACACTCGCCCACAGAAAGAAAGATATCAACGTAAATTGTGATTTGGCTGTTCCGTGAAAAAATCGGTAAACAATGCGACTGAATGTCGTTTTCGATTATGACGGAAAAACCGCACCGCGGAAAAATTTCCGGCATGAGGACATTGTTTATTTATTTAGAATGATATGTACGGTAAATCAAATTCTATAAGTTTCGTCGATTCCGGCGCATTCGCCAGAAAATCGAAAAAACCCGTTCTGGATATTTCCGACGATTCTCGTTCAACCTCAGGTAATTCAAACAATAAATCCCTCATAAAACTGCAGAGACACGAATTTCGTGCCTGGCGGGCGTTTTCGGTAAACGTAACTCGCGATATTAAAATCGACATTAGGGAAAAATAGTTTTCTTATTAAAGTTCGGATTGAAAGACGGGACGATATCCATCTGCGTGGTACGTCCGTACAGGACGTCGCCCAATAGACAGCGTATAATTTGACTTTTCATTTGCAGAATGATTTCCGCCGTTATTTATGCGGTCCGGACACGACAGTCATTTCATTTCCATTAAAAAAAAGGTCGGAATTTAAACCGGAGCATTGCGATGATAACGGCGAGATATATTCTTTCATTATGCGGATGGTTTCTAAGTATACAGTGTGAGTTCTAGAGAATGAGAAATGGAAATTGGTAATTTTAGGTTTTTGTGAAACTTACTTGGACGTTGCTCATAGAGGGCACTAAATTCAGTCTATTATTTACAGATATTTTGTCTAATTTTTTTAAAAAAGTAAAAGTGAATTCATTTCATTCATTGGAACGTTGAACGCAATATCTTTATTATTCTACTGCTCCTTGCATTTTCTGCTTCAACTCCTGCTAACGACAAACTGCAAATATTGAGAAGTTCAGAGGGTTTAAGTCTGGAGTGCTTGTTTTTTGTTGGGAGTTTATATAATGAACTCCACCAAACGTTCAAAGATTATCTAGCTAATAAAGACTATCTAGCTAATATTGTGATGAAATTTTCGAAAAATTAGCCATGTCCCAACCTCACTTTCTATAGTCCAAGTCACACTGACAATACAGTGTTGCCGCCAATTGTA